GAATTTAGGTTGTTTCCATATCTTGGGTATTGTAAATAGTGTTATAATAAACATGGGAGTGCAGGTTTCCTTTTGAATTAAGTGTTTTTGTGTTCTTTGGGTAGATACTTAGATGTGAAATTGCTGGATCCTATGGCAGATCCATTTTTAGTGTTTTGAGGAACCTCCACACGGCTTTCCATAGGGACTAGAAAGGTCTATATTCTCACCAACAGCGTAAGAGGGTTCCTTGAGTCATGCTAATGAGTCACAGGGCAAATTAGGGTTAATTAGGCAGCTCAGGGACAGTAGAGGCAGGGGTTTTTGGAGAGTTAAAGAGGTTTCTAAGATAAGGACAGAAAATTCAAAGAGGGGCTAACCAAACATACTCCAGAGATGACGTCAGAAATCCAGAAGGGGTAGTAGGGGCAGTAACTTTTAAGGCTAAACTTTAAGGCTAATGGGGACAGTATAGTTAAAGAGACCTTGGACAGGGGAAGAAAAAGGAAAAACTAAGAGCTGGGGAAATGGGCACATCCGCCCAGAGAAGTATAGCCACTGAAGAAAGAACCAATTAGAAAGTAGGATGATGACATTTTAAAATAGAGAAAAAAAGGTTTAAACATCCCATAGATACAAGCCCATATGGTGGGGTCTTTTGCCTCTCCTTGGCATTGCAGTCTTGGAGTCTTTGCTTTTGTTCTTTCTCCTCTAAATAAATGTTTCTTTACTCTCTAAATAAGGATTTGCTTCTCTCTACTTATTTACCTGAGGGTTTGTCTATGAATTCCTTTCCTTTTTTTTTTTTAAAGATTTATTTATTTATGTACACAAGAGCCAGGGCACAGGCCAGAGGTGCACGGGGGCCGGTGAGAGAACTCACCAGAGACAGAGCGGGGAACAGAATAGACAGATCGACCAAGGTACACTGCTGAGGGGAGCAGCGGGTGAGTCAGGAAAGGTCTGCTGAGCCATGTGGGTTGCTCCATGGCCAGATTGAACTCGTGCTGCAGGGGCTGCCGACAGCTACACAGACTGCATCTTAACCCCCTGCACCACCAGGGTGGCCCCTCTATGAATTCCTTTTTATGGCTTCATAGGACAAGAACTCATTTGGTGGTTTAAGGGTTACTGGGGTGAAAAGCAGTGGCAGCAGCAGCTGTAATCATGTTAACAGTGAACACCGGCTTCACTTTCTCATGATTTTATTATAATTATGGGGCCAATTTTGAATCAAACAGGCTCCATCTTCCTTCCAATTGGATTTTTTAAAAAAGATTTATTTATTTTTATATAAGAGCTGGGGTACAGGCCAGAGGTGCGGGAGGGTGAGAGGTTTCACCATAGACAGAGTGGGGAACAGAACAGGCAGACTGACGAAATACGCTACTGAGGGAAGCAGCGGGAGCGATAGGAGAGGCGTGCTGAGCCATGTGGGACTCTCGCCAGCCAGTGGGCATGGAACTGGCACTGCGGGGATGGAACTGGCACTGCAGAGATATGGACAGGGTCACTGTGTGGCACTCAACCCGCTGCGCCACGGCAAGGTCCTCTAATTGGATTTTTAGGTGAAAAGTAAAGAGCCTGACTGAACTCCCAATCAGTCACTACAGAATATCCACTCACTGTTTTCTCCTTATTGATGACTACAAAGAACAGCAACACCTATTCTCTCCTTATTATATAAGAAACGCGAATGCCACCTGCCCAGCATTGGATCCCACACTGCAGGTATCTGTATGAAAACTCCCACCAACAAATCTGAAAGTTCAAAAAATGACCTAAAACTTAAGCACCAGCCCTTGCTCCACCCTTCAGAACTTCCTTAACCCCTGATCCTGGGGAATACACTGGTGGTTGTGGAAGGAGATCATGTTTCTTATTCTCAAATAAAAGCTTTCTTAATATATTATAGCCCAATTCCTTCTCGGTGGACACGTTAATGATAATTCCTATTATAAATATAATAAATTATAAATTCCTATTATAAATATAATCCACCCTTTTTCCTAAGAGTAAACTTCACACGTCTGTTGAAAGTGTCACCAAGACGTCTGGCCTTTCCCAGGGGGACTTTTTTTAAATTTATTTTTTAAGATTTATTACATGCAAAAAAAAAAAAAAAAAACTTGACTACAACCTCACACCACGCACAAAAGCCAACTCAAAATGGATTAAAGAACTAGACATAAGACCTGAAACCATAAAATATATAGAAGGAAATACAGGCAAAATACTACATGACATGCACCTCAAAAACATCTTTACAGACACATCACCCAAAGCAGTGATAGTGAAGGCAAAGATAAACAGCTGGGACTACATCAAATTAAAGAGCTTATGCACAGCAAAAGAGACAATAACCAAAACAAAGAGAAACCCCACTGACTGGGAGAACATTTTTTCACACAACACTAATGATAAAGGACTGATCACAAAAATCTACAAAGAGCTGACAAGACTCAACAAAAACAAAGAAAACAATCCAGGCAAAAAATGGGCAGAAGAGCTAATAAGAAACTTTTCCAAAGAGGATATACAAATTGGCCAACAGGCATATGAAAAAATGTTCAACATCACTTGCAATCAGGGAAATGCAAATCAAAACTACAGTGAGATACCATCTTACACCAGTGAGAATGGCACATATTAAAAAAATTAGCAACAACAAATGTTGGCGAGGTTGTGGAGAAAAAGGAACTCTCCTGCACTGCTGGTGGGAGTGCAAACTGGTCCAACCATTATGGAAAGCTGTGTGGAGATTCCTCAACCTGCAACAGGGTGGTCCCCAGGAAAGGGGGAGGTTCCCTGCCCCACCCAAGGGAGGGTGGAGCTGAGCAGGAAGAGAAAAAGCTGCAGAAGAGACTGAGGAAGGAAGCAGGATGGAGCCAGGAGACCTGGAGGAGACGCATGGAGCCTAGAGACACGTAAAGAAACTGCGCTTGTCTTTTGGTCGTGGACTGGGTGACACAGATGTGGGTGAGACCTGTGGGGAGGTGACCATGGCAGCTTTTATCTTGATGTTGATTTTGCTCTTTTCCTTCCGGGCTTGTCTGGTTGTTCCTGACCCTTTTCTGTGGGTCCCCACTGGAAGATGCTTTAGACTTGTAGCAGGCCTTGGGGCCTTGTTCTGGGCCAATCCCATTTGGATGGACTTTTACCCACGAGGGGACGGGTAACTCTGGATGCTTCATTTAGAAACTAGACTCTTTGCCTTACCTGTATTGTTTCCTAGTTTTATTAAAGTTCCTTCCCATTAAAGTCTCCTATGTTTTGTGTTGATGCGGCGGATGGCAGAACCCATGTAGAATAGGCAGGTTTGCGGGGTTTGGGCTGACCCTCTCCCTGTCCTATAACAAACCTACTAAAGATAGAGCTTCCATATGATCCAGCAATTCCACTCCTAGGTATTTACCCAAAGGACACAGAAACATTAACTCCACAGAGCAACTGCACCCCTATGTTTATAGCAGCACTATTTACAATAGCTAAGCTTTGGAAACAACCCAAATGCCCAAAAATAGATGACTGGCTCAAGAAGATGTGGTACATATACACCATGGAATATTACTCAGCCTTCAAAAAAGATAAACACATGCAATTTGCAGCAACATGGATAGAGCTGGAAGGGATCCTACTCAGCAAAATAAGCCAGAAAGAAAAAGAAAAATACCGGATGGTCTCACTCATAGCAGGAATCTAGAAAACCTAAATAAGGGACCAGGAAAAAGAATAACTATAAGAAAGAAAAAATCAAAATCAACAAACAATTATGAACCAGAGACACACTATGGGGGGGGGCGGGGAAAGAAGGGAGTGGGGTCAAAATAAGGGGGTCGCAATTGTATGGGGAATATAAAAATAAGATTAAAAGAAGATTTACACAAGAACCAGAGTACAGGCCAGATGCACGGGAGGTTGAGAGGATTCACCAGAGACAGAGTTGGGGACAGAACAGGCAGTCTTACTGAAATACAATGCGGAGGGGAGCAGTGGGCAAGACAGGAGAGGTCGCCGCGCCATGTGGGTTGCTCCACTGCCAGCAGGATGGAAAAGGGCACTGCAGGGAGGCCCCCAAAGGGACATTTTTTAGCCTGAATTTCCTCCTAAACCAGATCTGTTTGCTAAGATGTCATACAACAATTTTCAGGAGAGGGCTATTGCCCTCTGAATCTCCAAGAACATGATCTCGTTACTTTGCAGCCTGCCTCCAGGAGCCAGGGTAATTTAGTAATTGGCCTCATCCTCCACACAGACACTGTTATAGGGCAGCCCTGATATTGAACAGGTTCCCGGCTGTGGGTCCTCACCCGTGCTTAAAAGGGACTTATTAATACTCCACTGCAGGCACACACAAAAGGTTAATAAAAGGTTTATTTACAAGGGAAAAGGAAATAAGGAAAATGTACAACTCAGGGAGAAAATAGGGAAATAAAGTCTTTAATGCATCCTACCCAATCCGCCGACCGGGAAACCCAAAGTCACTCTCAGAGCTGGCCGGACGCTGCGAGCTGGTGGTGAGCCAAAATGGGGGACCCCCTTCAAAGCCCACGTGTCTGGCTTTATACCACACCTGGCTGCTTCACCCCACCCTCAGGTCCCAGCCACCTTCCCTTTGGTGGTGATGGGATTTGGAGTTCCCAGTGTCTTTGGCTTTGGTCTGGAGTGGGGGTGGAGTCCACAAAGCCTGTATGGAATTAGCTTTAGGACATCCTTTCCCCCTAACAATTCCCCCCTTTACGAAGGGCGGACACCTCGATCGGGCACACGAGTCCTCACAACAGGCGGTGGAGGAGCCCTGCAGGGCGGGCTCGGAATCAGGCTACGCGCGTCCGGCGGCGGCCAGGCAGGGGCCGTCCCTGAGCAGCGGCGGGCGCCCCGGCGGGTCGTCGCCCGGATCGAATTTGCCGCGCGCGCCGCCGCGGGCCGGGGGCGGGGCGGGGCCACGCGTCACTTCCGCTCGCCCGGGCGGGAGGCGGGGCCGAGGGCGGCGCTGTTGTGTCCGAGCGGCGGGCGCGGGGCGGCCGGGGCACTGGGGCCATGAGCGAGGCGGACGGGCTGCGGCAGCGCCGGCCCCTGCGGCCGCAGGTGGTCACGGACGATGGGCCGGCCCCGGAGGCGAAGGAGGGCAGGTAGGCCGGGCCCGCGGGCCGGGGCCGCCGCGGTGGGGTCGACCCCCTTGCCCAGACGCGGCGGTAACCGCGACAGGCACAGGCAGTGCCGAGCGCGCCGGGCGCCGCCTCATTCGGGCTCCACCGCCAAACTCAGGGTCCGGGGAAGACGGGCCCCGACCGGCGCTGCACCTGTCAGGGCCTTCAGGCGTGGCTTGCGCCCCACGTCCAGTCGCAGCTCCACTGTCGGGCTCTCGGGGTCCCTGAGCATCTCGCGCCGCGCCGGCCCCAGCCTCCCCTCACCCCCGCCCTGCGCAGAACCTCCGCGCCCCTCCACTCGCCTGCGCTCCTGCTGGCCCGCCCGACCTGCGGGGAGAGCCGCCGCGCCTGGCCCAGAGTCTCCCCCATCTCCCGCTGGCACTTTCCTGAAGGGAGGTCCGCGAAGATGCTCGGGTCGCTCCTGGCGGTCCAGCGAAGAACTGGCCTCTACCTGCTTTTCTGCACCTGTCCCCCTCTCTCTGCCTGGCCAGGCTTCACCTAGATTTTCAGAAAGAGCAGAGAACACAAGTGACATTGTTAGGCACTTTTGGCGAGAATTCAGCCTCGCAGATCTTCCCGCGTAGGGACGGAGAGGCATGGAACGCTAGTTGAAAGCGTCCATATACACAGAAAGATTTTGGGATTTGCTGCTTCCGCAACCTTCCAGAATTTTAGTATGCTGTGTTTTGTTACCTAAAAAGTGAAGCATGAGTTAAACAACTATTTCAATATAAAAAACTTAAACTTCTCTTTGTGCCGTGAATTAAAATTTTGTGCCCTGAATCTCATACTTTGAGTTTTTTTTTTTTTTTTTTTTTTTTTGAGAACCAAGAGGCCCCATAAAAAACACGCTCAAAAGTTGTGGAACTAACTGACTTATATGTTGATGGACATATTGAAAATAGTTATTGATTTGCCAATGGGTGTAGTACATACTGAACTACTGAATGAGGAACAGGTTTTGCCTGTACAGACAGAATTTATTCATTCATTGGTGGTGATAAGAGGAACAAGGTAGAAGGAGATTTGCCTGTTAGAGGTAAGTCTCTAGAATGGTGATTGGTACAATCTGACTTCTGGACCAGTGGAAAGGTCTGGAATGTGCTGCCATGTAAAATCCTGATTGTAGGGTGACCAACCATACTTCTTTGTCCTGTACTCAGAGTTCTCAAGGATGTGGACTTTCAGTGCTAGCCCTGGGAGAGATGGAGCAAATTGGTGGATCATCCAATTGACTGTGGATATCTGCTGATGCCTGAGGAACCTTTCAGAAAAGACAAACAATGACTGGCAGTGCTTTATTACAGAAATCATGAAAACACAGCATTTCTGCCTATACTTTTACACAAGAAATGAAAGAGCAGCTGGCTCTGAGTTTGTCATGAGGTGCACTGTGTTGAAAACAAGGGTTTATGGTGCATGAGGGCACTTGTTGACTGGGCCCAAGCTCAGTTGTGCTCCTCTGAGACTCCTGGCCCTAGAGCAGAGGGGCAGAGTAATTGACATTGTTTTACAGTTTCTCTGTGGGGATTTCTTCCTTAAAGGAGGAATATTTGATGTTTCTAAGTCCTCTGTTTCTGCTGGTCTTTTCCAGTGTACCTTTTACACTATAACTATTTAAAATATTTTCTTGACATTTCTGTACATGCACACTGGTATTATTTTCCTGTGTTTCTCTCTTAATCTTGTTTGATTCCCTTCAAAGTGAGTTCTCGTTTTTCCCCTCTACCCTCCATCTTTCTACTTTTATTATTATAATCCTGTAGTTGTTTTTCTTAATTTTCTCGTGCAGTTCTTTAACATTTTCCATTTCTTTTCTTTTGTAGTCATTTCTAGTAGTTCATCTAGTTGTCTTCTTGATTATCTTAAAAGTTGAGCTTCACTATAAGGCAGGAAAGCATTGTGTTTAGTGGGTGAACTGAAAGTGGAAGGAATGCCTAACCATACCCTGGGTTGTTTCTTCACTCTTGGCTTGAAAGGTGGGTTAGCTCTGTTTTCCTGATGAAGTCATAGATGTCCATTTGAGCGAAGTGGTTTATATAAAGTTACAGAGTAATGGAGTTAAAAGAAAAATTAAAATGAATGAAGGATAGAATTGGCAGCTGGACAGTGATTGAGAAGCATATTTTTAAAATTATGCTTTGTAATAAGGTTTTATGCCAAGGCTCTTGGATTTCTGTATTTGAGCTATAATGGGAAATTTGGACTTTTAATCCTTTTATTCAGGGTGGAACAGATGAGCTAAGCACTTGAACATACTAATGCAAGGTTATAATTATTATCTGATCCTTTGGTTCTTCTATGAGTAGAAACCCAAAGAGAGACAAAGGCCAAGTGCATGGTGAAGACGTGTGGCTTTCAGCAGTAAAGTGCTGACCACAGGACATGGCACAAATCATCTCATTCGGGCCCAAAGGGAGGTCCCTGTCCTTGAAGGAGCCTGAGGTAACCCAGTGAAAGGGCAGGCCCTTGCAGGAAGCCACATGGTGCAATCTTTCATAAAAATGTTAACGTTGACCAAAGAGGTACTTTACCTTTTCCTGGAACAAAATGATTCTACATAAAATAGGCTCTTCTCATCTGGCTCATGCTGTTAATTCCTCTGACACACTGTCGGTTACATTTTACACCATGTGGGTAGCTCCCTGGCTGGGGATCAAACTCGTGCTGCAGTAGCTGTGGATAGCTTCATAGGTTGCATCTTAATCCCTTATGCCACCAGGGAGGCCCTGTATCTTATTTATCTTCTGTGCTAAAATGAAGGAGTCTTAGTTTAAAGCAATGTGAAACATAAACAAATTTGAATTACTGTCACTTGAGGAGGCTGTACTTCTTGCTATTTGACCATCTCAGGTTCCAGGGGTCACCTTGTACCTAGGAGGTGGAACTCACGGTTTTCCAAAAAAATCACAGGTCATTTTCAATGTCATGGAATTTGTCAGTCACACTTTATTTTTTAAAATATTTATTTTTATTTATTTATGCATACAAGAACTGGGGTATAGGCCAGAAGTGCAGGGAGTGTGAGGATGCACCAGAGACACTGGGAAGCAGAACAGGCAGATCTACTGAAATAATACTGCTCTTGCGCAGTGGGTGAGACATGAGAGCTGTGTGCCATGTGGGTTAGCTCCCTGGCAGGGATCAGATTCATACCACAGGGGCTGCTGGTAGCTTGATAGCCCTGAGACTTTAACCCCTGTGTCACCAGGGAGGGCAATATCAGTCAAACTTTAGTTGTGCTAAACAGAATAAGGGAAGCCTTGAAAGATATATTATTCAATTTACTTCAGTCCTTGCCTCAAGATCCTGATTTCCTGTGTGCAGAAGGTGTTAGAGCAACACTTCAGATTTGGCTGGTGAAATTAGAGGATTTTGTAAGTGATGGCTGAGCCAACAGGAGTTGTCAAATTTTGTTGCATCACTCTGATTGCTCACTTACCCTTAGAGAAATTTCCCTCATGAGGTGAGCATTGCTTCAGGGTGTTCCTAGAGACTGGGGAAAACAGGTTGTTTCCCCAGGTTGCACCTGGGACAGGAAGTTGCCAACCTTTCTGGATGTGTCATTGAAGATTGGGAAGGAGAATGTGGTAGGAACATATGACGCTGAGGAGTATGCTTTATTTAGGTAGCATAATGCAGGTGTGCAGAGTCGGGACAGATGTGGAGAAGATGCAGAATTGTGGTTGACTGAGGGTTTGCAGAACCAGCAGTGAGATGGGCTTGCCAAAAAGTTAATGCATCTTGGGCTGAAATTAATGCAGGAGTGCCCAGAGCATTGGATCCACACCCCCTTCTTAGCCCAAGAACTCTGACCTGATGTTCACAAAGGGATCTTCCCCATCATTTAGTGAACACCTTCTGTGTTCTAAGCACACACATCAGTCACATTGTTTGAGTGTCTTAACAGCCAGATATGGGACTATTCTCCAGCAAGGGTGGTTCTGGGAGGAGAGGAGAGTAGTCTCCCTGTAGCTTTGGGATTCATGTGGGGTTCAGCCAGTAGAAGCTGAAAAACCTAGATTTTTATGTGAAGTTCTCTTATTTTTCAGTTTTCAAAACTAAAGCTATTTTGTGGAAGGATGGTTTATGGTTTATACTAGAGCTTTGCTTTGAATTCTGACTATCACACTTATGATAAAACTTTAAACCCTGCAACAACCAGGTATGCGAGTGTTCTGCAAGTCCCACATCTGAGGATCCCCACAAAATGGACTGTAGGATGGGCTACAGGACCTGGGCTGCCCACGGAGAAGAGTGAGCTGAGGGCAGGTGATTGCAGGCATCATTTCTAGGGAGGGCTGTCCAAGAGGGCATGGGTTTGCTGCTCCCAGGGCAGACCTCGACTCTTTCAGGGGGATGCATGTTTCTCAGAACATGTGTGAGATAACCCAAGTGATCAAGTTTCCCTTGGTCAAACGGTTGGGAAAATGCGGTTGCAACTTTTGTGGACACTTAGCTTGCTCACAGGGGCTTCCAGGGCCCAAAGGGCTCTATGGGATCTTGCCCTGGTTTTGGACTGAACTGTATTAGCATCTTTCTCCTCAATCTTCCTGTTTCACTCATTCCTCCTCTGTGGTCAAGGTTTGGAAACGGGGGTAAAAGTTAATCTTCAAAGCATGTGTTCTTCAATCACTGCCAAGTACTTGCTGAGTCCTACTGGCTGCTGTGCCTGTATTGTTCTGCCCCAAGATTTGATTTCTCCCAGTTTCACTGAAGTCTTAGTTCAGAGGTCATCTGCTTTGACCTGTGTGTGTAGCCATCCCTTCGGTTTATTAGACTCTGACCCTGCTGTATTGTTCTTCATTATACTTGTCACCATCTGGAATTTGCTTATTTATACTAGAATACGCAGAGGTGATTGTTAAATGCTTGTGAATGATGGTAAATATACATGTGTTTACAGTTATACACACAGCTATTTATATTTAAATTAGTCAAAATGAAAACTAAAATTTTAAAATTCATTTCCTCATTTGCACTATGTAGGGTATTTGAGGGATTTGGGAACTGACCAAGGGAGAAGATGATGATGAGGTAGTAGTCACATACAGAAGCTTTATTGGGTGACTCTTGGACAGGTTTGCATATGGGGGTGCCTTGCACAGAAGGGAAGGGGACCACCATGCCAAAGGGGAGGGGCTGAAGGGCAAAAGGGAGAAGAAAGAGGGCTCTGTATCTGGGGTCAGAGATCTCCAAGGCGAGAGGGCCCATTTTATTGTTACAGGACAGGGAGTGAGGCACCCCACAACCCACAAACCTGCCTGCTCTAAATAGGATCTGCCATCTGCCACATTAAGACAAAACATATAAGACCTTTAATGGAAAAGAACTTTAATACAATTAGTGTGCAATACAGAAAAGACAAAGAATATAGTTTCCTAATCAAGCACTTGAAGTAACCCATCCCCTCATGGGTAAATATCCAGCCAAACAGGGTTGGCCAAAGCAAGGCCTGAAAGCCTGCCCCAAGTCTAAAGCACCTTTCGGTGGGGAACCATAGAAAAGAGTCAGAAACAGTCAGACAAGTCTGGGAGGAAAAGAGCAAAATCAAAATCAAGATAAAAGCTGCCATAATTATCCTCCCTATGGGTCTCTCACCCACATCTGTTTCAACCAGTCTAGGAAGAAGCAAGCGTAGTTTCTTCATATGTCTCTCTGCTCCATGTGCTTCCTCCAGGTCTCCTGGCTCTCCATCCTGTTTCCTCCCTTCTCCAATCTCCTCTTCAACTGCTTCTCCTCTCTGCTGAGCTGAACCCTCCCTTGGGTGGGGCAGAAACCTGGAACCTCCCCTTTTCCAGGGGACCACCCTGTTACATTATCAGTGTCCTGTGAAGTTTCACATAGTATACAAAGGAAGCAGGCTCTAAATGGCTAACAATTTGGTTGTTTGGGCTATTTTAAATAATTGTATATGGTACCAATTGGGGTTTGACACTGCTGGGCCTATTAGGTCCCATCCAACAGTAAAGAAATAACCCCAGGTCAGATAAACATTTGTAGAACATCCTAGTCCCCATCTTAAGCACTCAGTAGCCACATATGTATATTTCTGTCATTGCAGAAAGTTCTATTGGACAGCATTGCTCTTGAGTTTGCTGTTTCTAAAACTTGATCATAGAACTTTTCAATAGAAGTTGGATGATGTTTGGCCAGAGGGGGATTGAAGGATTTCTTTTACCGGGGAGGAGGTTGGATAAAGTTGGTGGTGTCCAGGAGCATAACAGGAACATCTGGGGAGCATAAAGGAAAGGGTTCCCAGGCTCATTCTGAACTTGCTTGGGCAGCATCTCCCCACCTTGTTTAAAGATGTCTGCATTTCCTGGTGTAGGAGATCCAGGGCTAGCCACATAGGAGCACTGGACCGGGTGGCCTCTAATTCTTCTCTAGTTTTTTGTTTTCTGAATGTGAGGGTATATTGGCTGGATCTCCAGCAGGAATGGGCCATGTGGGACGAAGGTCATCCTCCTGACTTTTGACTGCCTTTCTAGCTGTTGCTCTCAGTCCTGGCTGGACTTTTTGTTTTGGAGATAATTGGGCCTTTTACCATTGTGTGAAGGGGCAACCAGGTGTCACAAGCGCAGAATCATATTACCAAATTAAGATACTTAAAATGGAGCAAGTGGTTAAGATGCAACCTATGAAGCAATCCACAGCTACTGCAGCACGAGTTTGATCCCCAGCCAGGGAGCTACCCACATGGCGTAAAATGTAACCTACAGTATGTTAGAGGAATTAAGAGTATGGGCCAGATGAGAGGAGCCTATTTTATGTAGAATCATTTTTTCCAGGAAAAGGTGAAGTACCTCTTTGGTCAGTGTTAACATTTTTATGAAAGATTGCACCATGCAGCTTCCTGCAAGGGCCTCCTGCCAGGGCCTCCTGCCCTTTCACTGGCTTACCTCAGCCTCCTTCAAGGACAGGACCCAGGTGAGATGATTTGTGCCATGTCCTGTGGTCAGCACTCACTGCTGAAAGCCACTCCTCTTCTCCATGCATTTGGCCTTTGTCTCTCTCTGGGTTTCTATTTATAGAAGAACAGAGGATCAAAGTCATTCTTATTTGTACTGGTAAACAGCCCTGCATTACTGTACAGATACTTTATTTCCATTGTGTTGAAAGACTTTAGACCACCTAAAAAAAATCACCTGAGTTAGAGTGGCCCAGTCTCTGCTTTGGAGGGGCAGTTTGCATAGTTGAGTTATTGATTTTTGAAAAAAACATCTTTATGAGATTTAATTTATATGTCATAAAATTCACTTGTTTAAAATGTTTAATTTAATGGTTTTTAGTATATTCTAGAGTTTTGCACCAATAACTACATGAAAGTTTTATCACAATCTAGATTTCCATCACTGTTAATTTTTTTTTAATTGAGGTATGTTGACTTCAAACTTAAGCCATTGATTTTTCCAACATCAAAACAGATTTATTCAGGAACAGGAGAAAAGAGGCAGATTCGAATGTGGATTCATGGTGAGACCCACTTGAACTTTTCTGAATCCCCTTTTATAACTAGAGGGCCTCTGTAAGTTCTGCTGGATGGGCTTGAAATATTGTCACTTCCTGTGGGGCATATGAAGCTTGCTGGGACCTGCAGCTTGCTGATTTAGGCATGTGTGGGAACTTCCTAGCCTTCCTATCTCATTTACATAGGATTTTCGAATATTACTGTTTACAAGTGAAAGTTACCTAACATAAAATTAATTACCTTAAAGTGTACAGTTCAATGATACTTAGTGTTGGGCAAACACCCAACTATTTCTATTTTCAAAACTTTTTCATCACCCCATAACAATACTTTGTACCCATTAAGTAATCACTTCCCATTTCCACCTCCCAACCAAATGTCCATCAGCAGATGAGCGGATAAACAAATCATGGTATATGCATTTAGTGCAATATTATATAGCCACAAAAAGAAAAGTACTAATACATATTTCCTCTTGAGTGACCCTTGAAATATGCTGAGTGACAAAAGCCACTCATGAATTGTATGATCCCATTTATAGGGATCCAGTGATTTCTTCAGTAATTTCTTTCCTGCTTTATTCATTTAACAAAATCTAAATGTTCAGAACTGGGTGGGACACTGAGGTTACTCTGCCACACACCCTGTTTTACAATGGGGAACCCGTGGGCCTTGGGGTGAAGAAACTCACCTGAACTGACTTGACTGGTTATTGGGAAAGTTAGGACTGGCACCCTGGCCCCTACATTTCAACATTATACCTGGAACAGGTTTATGCAGCAGAAGATTATCCTGTTAAAAGTCAAACAAAACATTGACCTTAAGTCAAGTTTGTTTTATTAAATGTCTCTTGATTTTTTTTTTTGAGGTTATTTGTTTTTTCTGATAGAAGATTCTCTTCCTTAGGAACTTATGATTTTATTTGCTTTAAGTTAATCTTGGTATCAAGAATTTAGTGAATTTGAAGACACTTAATGTTAGTGTAATGCTCCTATGAAGTTTATGTAGTGACAGGAGGCTAAGTATCCTCCCTTGCTTGCCAGATGAATACTGTATGCGAGGAGTGAGTGAGAGAGATTTTAGTCACTATTGGTCATTTGTCCAAAAACTTTACTCAAGATTACCAAAATGAATTTCAGCTTTCTCGAGGCTTTAGAAGTGATTATTTGGAATTGTAATTTTAGGCATACTTTATAAATTTTAGGCATACTTTAAGCCTCAGCTTTCTCGAGGCTTTAGAAGTGATCATTTGGAATTGTCATTTTAGGCATGCTTTATAAATGTCAGTATCTTGTCAGAATTCTGCTAGGTGGAAAAGCTAGAATTTCTTCTTGTGTTCTTAAAGGTGTGACCTGCAAAATGGTTGAGGAATTGGACACTTAGGAAATTGTTCACTTCCATTCGCTTCATGAATTTGTCTCTGTCTCTTTTATCCGCAAAATGTGAGACTCTTAGGATACACAATTCTGAGTTCTGCTGCTTTGAATTCATGTGCCAGGTAGCATGGCATTTGGGGACACAAAATGTAGATAGTGTATCTCATCTGTAGATGAGTTTATCTCCTTAACCTCATTGTACTTCTTTTCTCCCATTACATTTTATGTTCACCAGATTTTTTTGGGTTTGCCTTCTTTAAAATTCTGCTGGAGGATTCAAGATATAGCCTTTTTAATATTATCTGGAAAATAACTAATAAGAATGTCTCACAGAGCTGGGTGGTTAAAAAGAAAGAACAAAGGTATGTTTGTCAGTCCTAGTGAGCAGTGTTAAAGTTTAATCACAAGCCAGGAAGGTTGGGTCCTCCTGGTGGGTAGACGCTGCCAACTAGCTTGTCACCTCCTGAGCCTTTGCTGATTGCCTTGGTCTGTTTTATTTCTGACAGCTCCTTCAGTGGCAGAGTTTTCCGGGTGACCTTCTTGATGTTGGCTGTCTCCCTTGCCATTCCCCTGCTTGGAGCCATGATGCTGGTGGATTCCCCTATAGATCCACAGCCTCTCAGGTGAGCTGTCCCTGGGAGGGGCTGCTTGACAAAATATAGTAAGTTGAAATCATTTATTGAGTCATTAAACCAATCTAGTCTGTAAGGTAAGTTATGATGGATTGAGAGGTTTGTGATTTCTTTAGTGCCTGTTGTATGTTGAATTAGATGTTACACAGAGTATATGCATGTTATTGTCCCTGCTATTGTTTCAAAAACAAAACTGTTCAAACAAAAAACAAAAATCCAAATAAGAGAAATGTATTAGCAACAACCTGAATTCATTTGAAGTGACAAAAGGATACAAAAAGGAGGTTAAGCTTGTTACCTTATTTAAATTTTGTAAGTAATGGCTTTTTTTTTTAGAAGAACCTTGTAATTAGGGTTCTGTTTGTTCTAAGTTGTCTTTCTTCACCGGGCTTTATGACTAATGCAGTCCATTATAAGTTGAAAAAAAAATAGTATACAATTGGGGTCCCTTGAAATATATTCACTTTTGTATTTATGACAGTGCAGAGCCAGGCTTTTACTGGTGTGATGATTTGACATTGATATTGGGCTGGTGCAAGTGGGTTGTCAGTAAACTTCCAGTTCTTGAAACTGCCCAGGTGGATGAAACTGTCTGACATTTGTTTTAAGTGAGTTAGTCCTTGTAAGACTTTAAAAACATCACATAAGAATCATGTCTTGTTATTATAAACATTACATGTATAATTGCATAATGTGTTAGTGTTTTATAATTAAAAGTTAAGGCTTTATATTGGATTCAACTCATTAAAAATGTGCTTAGGACCTGTGTGATGAGTTAGGTATCCAGCTGGATACAAAGATAGAAGACACAGTTTTGACCTTAGATTAACATATGTATGTAAGGGTTTATGTATACAATTAGCTTACATTCACATAAGATTGAGAATGGGTGAAGGCCCTAGGCACTCGAGACTCATGAGAGTGTTGGCTCTGTAATTCCTAATGCGCTGCTAGGCCTTTGCATGTGTTTTCTGCCTGAAGTGGGGTCAAGAGCACACTGGGTGTCCTCTCCAAGGGGCATTGGCATGGTGGGGGGGCTGTCTTGCTAATTAACACATGTAGGATGTGACTCCAAATAGAAACTCATTTGGGCCTTTCTGGATACTCCATTTGGCAAAGTGGAAATATGACCTGCGACCACAGCTGGGAATCAAAACCTGGACTGAGGAGCTGGCTTTGGAAAGACTGAGAGCAGTGACAGTAGGTGGAAGTGGAGTTTCTGTGTTGTAGAGGGAGAGATGGGGCTTCAGCTGCAGACCTTTGATCTCAGTGAAGGTGATTCTATGTGTGGAAAGAGTAGTAAAGAAATTCAGAGGAAAGATCAGTATGTGCTTCTGACCAAAACCTGAAAGGAAACAGGTTACAGGAGGGGCTGGAAGTCACACAGTGATACTGTCTGTGGAGCAGATGAGTCTGACAAGGAAAGGAGAGGAGAAACCTGGTGGAACCAGCATGGTGGACAGGAGTCTCTCTCTGGGGTTCAGATTTAGGGAGTAACATACACAGAAATGGAAGGTTGGGCCCCAAATGCAAAACAAAAACAAGAGTGGCAGAGAGTTAAAGAACAGAAAGAACTAAGGTTTGGGAAAAATGCTAATGATTACAACAAAAAGGCTTTTTTTATTACTGTTCAGAGCAAAAAGAGCAAAGAGCAACTGTCTGGGGCAAGTTGTGTTCTATTGGCAATGGCAGAAAAGCAGAGCCACCAGCTTCTGCTCCACCTCAGTCATCTCTGAGCCTGGAGCAAGGGGCATGGTGTACAGGACCAGTGCGGCTGAATAGACGGGAGCTCAGTTGATGGAAGTGCTTTGGGAAGTCTACCTCCAGGATACTAAACCACCTCCCTTGAGAGTTAGAACTCACTTATAAACCTCCAGGAAATCATAGTAAAGATAGAATGTGGCAGGGGAAGGAGAGGGGTAGAAACCCTTCCAGAGTAGATTATTATGTAGTTGGTTTCAGTTATTAGGGAGCAAAGTCACCAGGAAAGCTGCAGGACTTGGCCAAAAATCTGCCATGCGAAGAGACCTTGTATTCCTCATTTGGGCGGGGTAAGAGGACTGTCAGAGATACAACATAGGTGACATCTGATTTCTAGGGGGTGTGGCCAGTGTTTTTCAGGATATATTTGACACAGATAGAGATGTGAGCAGAGTGGCAGCACTGTTAAGTAGGGTCAGATGTGATTGGCATGGGTGCAGCAAAGCATGCATTGGGCAGTGGTTCTCAGCTGCAGAGGGCTTTCTGCGCTTAGAACCAGTCGTCCACATTGCCAAAGACTTCTAAGAATTTCTGAGATCTGGCTCCCAGGAATTCCAGTATCCTCCTCCCCTGAGAAGTCAGGGGGTGGGGACACTGTTTTTCTTCTTCCCTGCAAGTCTCCATGGACCTTACCAGAGTTTTAATTTTTATGCTTCTATTTGGTTTTTACACCCTCGTCTGCCCATAGAGCTTATTGCTGTTTTCTATTTATTATTTTTAACTTCTAAATTTTCAGCCTGGTAGTAAAATGAATACTTTTTTTTTTTAAAGATTTAATTTTTATTTATTTATGAATACAAGAGCTGGAGTGTAGGCCATAGGTGTGTGTGTGGGGTGTGGGGAGTGAGAGGATTTGCCAGAGACAGAGTAGGGAGCAGAACAGGCAGAGCTAATACTGAAATACACTACTGAGGGGAGCAGTGGGCAAGACAGGAAAGGTCTGCTGTGACATGTGGGTCTGCTCCCTGGCTGGGGATTGAACTTGTGCTGCAGTGACTGCTGATAGCTTGATAGTGCTCAGACTTAACCCCTTGCAGCACCAGGGAGGCCCTAAAATGAATACTTTTGACAGGACTGTCATAACTTCCAACTGCTAGACCAATAGCTATTCTGTGGTCTTTAAAGTCATAGTAACAGGGCCTCCCCAGTGGTGCAGCAGTTGAGTGCTGCCTGCAGCCTCTGTGGTTCCGGTTCTATCCCTGGCTGCCGGCGAGGGTCCCACCTGCGCGCAGACCTCTCCTGCTGTGCCCGCTGCTCCCCTCAGCAGTGTGCCTGTTATGCTCCACGCTATGGCTCTGGTAAATTCTCTCACCTTCCCATGCTTCTGACTATACCCAGTGCTTGTATAAATAAATAAATAAATCTTTATTTTTTTTGATTTTGTTTTAAAGATTTATTTTTATTTATTTATTTATTTATTTATTTATTTATTTATTTATTTATTTATTTATTTATTTATTTATTTATACAAGCACTGGGTACAGTCAGAAGTGCGGGAGGGTGAGAGAATTTGCCAGAGGGGGGAGCAGAGCAGGCAGAAGGAACGAAGTACACTGCTGAGGGGAGCAGCGGGCGGCAGGAGAGGTCTGCGCACCATGTGGGACCCTCCTCCAGTGGCCGGGGAGCAGCCGGGGATGGAACCGGTGCCACAGAGGCTGCGGGCAGCTTCGCAACCCGGCTCTCAACCGCTGTGCCACCGAGGAGGCCCAATAAATAAATCTTTAAAAAAAAAATAAAGTCATAGTAACAAAACTTCTCCTCCAAAACATGACTGTATTTCCTTTTAAATTTTACATTAATTGATAAATATGTTTTTATAAATAACTAGAAACATTCCTATCTTTCTGTGAAAAATAACCTTTTGTGCCTTTCTGGATAGAAACCAAGTCCTTACACAGGGTGGTTGTGAGATGTGGACTGAAATGACTGCTAGTGAGTGTGTACTGCAGGGCTGTGTCCTGGCCACATGCATCGTGCCAGACACACTCATCACATTTGTAGCTGACAAGCTCAGCAACGATATTTGGAAAATTTGAGCTTGGAAGGAATATTAATGAGTGATCCTGATCAGGTGAAACCATGGGGAAAAATAGGGTAAAGTTGGAAATTAACCCTAAATGGCATAGCTAAAGGTGGCAGGTGCTAACTGGGCTTAGCAGGAGTAAGAGCTGACAGAATCGGACTTTAACAAAGAGTCCACAGGCCTGGCTGGCTGTGCAGCGCTGATTTTGGTTCTGGGGGCCACATTTCATCGATGCTTCTATGCTCTGTTACAGGAGTGGAGGCTCCATTGGTTCATTGTTGCACATCCTTTGCATTTTCTCATCTAAGTTTTCTTGTGGGCAGGGACATTGCACTAAATACTGATTAGTTTTATTCTAAACATTTCTGAGGTCTTGTGTGTGTAGGGAATTAGGCAAGGGATGGAGGGGGTGCTTGAGTATCACTTATGCCTCCTTTATCACTGGGAGGAATGTGTTGTTCAGTCTGCACACATACCTTGGGAGGTGGGATGTTCCCACAGCTAGAATTTGAACCCAGGTATGTCCGTAGGTTCTTTTCAGCAAAGCAAGCACATTTCAGTTTTACTTTATTCCTCTGGAATGATCACATGTTAGTTAACCCAAGGTTTTTTTTTTGTTTATTTGTTTTTTAAAAGCAGGTAGAAAACCAAAACTGGAAGACAGGGCCTCTGCCCCCACGTGAAGGTGGGGGATGTGGCATTTTGTTCTGAGTAGCTGCCGCCTCAGAAGGAATTGCAAGGAGAAAAGTGCTTTGCAAGGCAGAGAGCTTTTCTTTTTCTTTTTCTTTTTTTTTCTTTTTCTTTTTCTTTTTCTTTTTCTTTTTCTTTTTCTTTTTCTTTTTTATGCATAGAAGAATTGGGGTATAGGCCAGAGGTATGGGGGGTTGAGAGGATTCACCAGAGATAGTAGGGAGCAGAATAGGCAGATCTATTGAAATACACTGCTGAGGGGAGCAGCAGGTGAGACAGGAGAGGTCTGCTGCACCATGTGGGTCAGCTCCCTGGCCGGGGATTAAACTCAGGCAGTAGTGGTGACAGCACTGGGACATAACCCCTAGGCCACCAGGGAGACCCCATTGTCCCCATCCTCAATCAACTCCTCCTGTAGTTCTCCCACTCTGGTGGCCTGGCTAGGAAACAACCTTGTTAGAGGGCAAGTTGGAGAGAGAATTGAGAGATATCCCCCTTCTTCCTCCTATTGTTCACCAGGAGCCTCCCTTATGCTAGGTACTTGGAATATAGCAGCAGGAACCACAGAAACACATCCCTGATCTCATCAAGCATATGTTCTGGAGGACATAGGCAATAAACATAACAGAGAAATGGGAAACCTATCAGTGCTATGGGAAAAAGAGAGTGGACTACGGGAGTGGGCTTTGAGGGTGGTGGTAAATATTAAAGTAGGTGGTCAGAAGAGGCCTCACTAAGCAGGTAGGAAAAGCGGTGTGAAGGATTTTCTATGGAAGATGACTTACGTGGTCATTAATTGGCAGGGAGGGGTGGGTGTGGAAGGCAGAGTGAACTGGGGTGAGGAGGTGAGAGGGGCAGGCCAGACTATGGAGAGCTAAAAGCCACTTCAGGGACTTTGACTCTGGCAGGACTTTGAGCAGACAGGTGCTGTGTTCTGACTTTAAAGCATAAGGTTCATGTGGATGTTGAAACTGGACTATAGGTGACGGGGAGGAAGGAAGGTAGAGAAGATGGCCTGGACCAATGTGGGAGCAGAGGACACGGGGAGAAGGCAGTCAGTGATGTCTGTATTTTGAAGGTGGCATTATCAGGATTTGCTAAGGGATTGAGAGAAGCATCCTGTTTACATATGAGCCATGTCTGAGGGAAAGGAATTCAGTCCCTATGGCTGCCGACTTCAGAGAGAAGTTTGGATGGGTCCTGAGAGTATTAGTGGGATGCAGAATGCGCCAGGGCCACCATGGGGTGGGAGTGCCTGTCCTAGAACAGACTCTTCTCATTCCTTTCGTCCTTTCCACAAAGAAGGAAGCATCGCTGTCAGTTAAGAAATGTTGTAAGGCTCCCCTCCATCACAGCTGCAGGGTCCAGCAGCTGGGAAAATAGAAGTTAGAGTGTGAAACAGTCTGATCTGCCTCAAGGCTTTGGACAGGTATTGAGCTGTGGGCGGACAGAGGCCCCAGGAAGGTTAGCTGTTTACCAAAGTTCTTGTAATAGCCATATTTATATCTTTATTTTTTATTATGACTTTTCCTGATAGCTGGAACAGTTTTTTCCTAAGTTTTTGTGTTTTTGGCAACTAAGGACGTTATTGGAATATGCCTTCTTTGTCAAAGAATGGGGAGTTTTGCATGTTGTAGGTCCTCAGCAAACACTTATTTCTTGTACTTTTTTAGACAAATTCCTGTAATTGCATTATCTTACAGCTTCAAAGAACCCCCTCTCTTGCTTGGTGTTCTGCAACCAAATACGAAGTTACGACAGGCGGAAAGGCTCTTTGAAAATCAACTTATTGGCCCAGAGTCCATAGCAAATATTGGGGGTAAGTAAACCCCTGGAACTACGGAGCCTGACTGGGGTCCTTTTGAGACTGTGACTTGCGGTCCAGCACAGTGGCATACTGCTCCTGGGTGGGGGCCCTCGACCTCTTTCTTAGCTATGGACGTGTGTACTTTGGAGCAGACATCCCCATGGGAGTGTCTCAGGTCTCTGCATGGTCAACCATTTTAATGCTGGTAATTTCAAATTCACGTGTATGAAGTGTTTTATTCTCTTGAAAGTGTTGGACCCATTGAAATGAAGGACAAAGGAAATGCAGACATTGATGCATAGTTCATTTATCAAAGTTAAGTAGGTATTACTTGACAGGGCATTGTTTATTAGCTCTGTTTGTCATTGTGTAGATTTCATTTTTTTATTTGTATAGATTTCAGCTTTGAAAAGAATATGAATAACTTTCACTTCCAAATTTTCTGTTTAAACTCACTTTGGTGACTCCATTTAAGGGTAACCTCTGCTTTAGGCTTGGCCAAACATAAGATCAAGAATTTAGTCTTTGAGACTTGAGTCCCTAGCAGCCTGTAACCAGGCATTTTTTGTCTGATATAATGAGAATTTAAGCTTAGGGATCAAAAGATTCCTAAGAACAGTTAATGTAAGGGTTCCTGAAAATGGTATACGAATATTTGAACAACTTAACTTGGCATACTGCTTTGTATTCCAAAGTGTAGTATTTTTCCCGTGAAATGGGTGTGGACACATGTGAGATTCTTTCTTGATGGGAAGGCAGGTCAGAGCTGCTTCTCTGTGGTGTTGAATAGCTTCTGTCTCCCAGCCCCTGCTTTCTGACTAACTCAAAGACTGGTGTGTTTCCGTTCATTTTGCTGGGAAAGTCACACTTATTTTAAGAGGAATAGTTACTTCCCTTTTTATGAATAGGATCTAATATTTCTTGCATATAGACATGGATATGCATTAATCAATTTCCCAGGCTTTTTTTTCTTGGTGAAGTAATCAAACAATGATGTTTGAAGCTGGAACTTTGAGGCATTAAAGTGATTAAAACAAATCCTTCAAAGAACATTTTTTTTTTTTTGTCTTTTTATTTTTCCTCTTGGGCTGTAACTCATGCTTTGTCACCAGGTCTTGCCTTTTCTCTCTTAAAGGATCTGGTTATCTTCTTGGTGACAATTCTGGATAGGCACAGTGGGGACCTCTCTCCCTGTGATTATAAACTACAGGGAGGCCTCCAGGGCGACTACTGCCTCATTTGGACATTGTGTTGAGGAATGGCTGGCATGTTTCTGACAGTTGGAGGGTGTTCTGGAGAAAATATTCGCCAATAAGCATGCTTTAATTTTTTAATTACACTTTATTTTTTTAAAATAGTTTTAGGTTCATAGCAAGATTGAAGAGATGCTACAGAGATTTACCACATGTTCACTATCCCCATTTGTAAGCTTCCCCCACCAATTATTACTTTTTTTTACAATTACTTAACCTACATTGACACTTCATGATTACCCATAGGTTATAGTTTACATTAAGGTTCACTCTTTGTGTCCTACGTTCTGTGGATTTGGACAAATGTCTAATGATATGTATCTATCATAATAGCATCCTACAAAATAGTTTCACTGCCCTAAAGATCCCCTGTGTTCTACCTGTTCATCCCTCCTTCCTCTCAACCTTGGTAACCACTGAGATTTTTATTGTTTCCATAGTTTTTTTTTTTTTTTAAAGAATCCCTTAAATATTTTACATGTGTATTCACTAAGAGCCAAGGATCTTTTAAAGATTTATTTATTTATTTATACAAGCACTGGGTACAGTCAGAAGCACGGGAGGGTGAGAGAATTCACCAGAGCCAGAGCAGGGAGCAGAACAGGCAGAGTGACGAAGTACACTGCTGAGGGGAGCAGCGGGCGGCAGGAGAGGTCGGTGTGCCATGTGGGACCCTCGCCCGGTGGCTGGGGATCAAACTGGTGCTGCAGAGGCTGCGGGCAACTTCGCAACCCAGCACTCAATCGCTGTGCCACCGGGGAGGCCCTATTTCCATAGTTTTGTCTATTCTAGAATGTCACGTAATTGAAATCATTTAGTATGGAGTGATTTCAGATTCTCCTTTCATTTAATAATCATGCACTTAAGATTCTTCCATGTCTTTTCATGGCTTGATAACTCATTCCTTATTATCACTGAGCAATAGTCCATGTCTGTATATACCATACCTTATTTATCTGTTCTCCTCCTGAAGGATATCTTGATTACTTCCAAGTTTTGGAAATTATGACTAAGACAGATTTTTGTGTGGACTTATGTTTTCAGCTCATTTGGGTAAATATCAGGAAGCACAATTGCTGGATCATGTGGGAAGAGTGTTTTCAGTTTTGTAAGAAATCACCAAACTATCTTCCAAAGTTCACTGTGTCATGTTGCATTCTCAGCAGCAATAAGTGAGAGTTCCTGTTGCTCTACATTTTTGCCAGCATTTGGTGTTAGAAGTGTTCTAAATTTTTGGACATTCTAATAGGTGTGTAGTAGTGTTTCATTGTTTTAATTTCCTCCAATGACATGTGTTGATCATCTTTTTATGTGCTTATTTATCATGTGTCTATCTTCTGGGCTGAGGTGTGTGTTTTAAGTCTTTCAAAAGTAATTTTAAAAATTGCATTGTTTTTCTCATTGTTGAATTTTAAGAATTCTTTGTATATTTTGGATAATATTCCTTTATCAGCTGTACCTTTTACAAATATTTTCTCCTAGTCTGTGGCTTGTCTTCTCATTCTCTTGATAGTGACTTTCATAGAACAGAAGTTTTTAATTTTTTTAATTTATTTTTTTAAAGATTTATTTATGCATACAAGAGCTGGGATACAGGCCAGAGATGTGGGAGTGAGAGGATTCACCAGAGACAGAGTGGGGAACAGAACAGGCAGATTGTCTGAAATACACCGCTGAGAGGAGCAGCAGGAGAGATAGGAGAGGTCTGCTTCACCATGTGGTTTCTCCCTGGCCAGCCAGGGATTGAACTCGTGCTGCAGAGGCTGCAGATTGCTTCATAGTGCAGTGCTTAACCCTTTTTGCCAGCAGGGAGGTCAGAAGTTTTTAATTTTAATAAATTCAAGGTTATCAATTACTTTCATGCATTTGGTGTTGTGCTAAAAGGGCGTCACCACACCCTAAGTCACCTGCATTTTCTCCTATGTTGTTGTCCAGGTGTTTTACATTGTACATTTAGGTCTATGTCCAGAATGGTGTAAAGTTTATGTCTAGATTTATTTATTTTTTGCATATGGATATCCAGTTGTCCCAATGCCATTTTTTGAAAAGACTGTCTTTGTGCCATTGTATTTCCTTTGTTCCTTTGTCAAAGTCAGTTTACTAGTTTAATGTAGCTATTTCTGGAATCTCTATTCTGTTACATTATTTGTCTATTCTTTTTTTTTTTTTTAATACAGGCCAGAGGCGTGGGAAGGTGAGATAATTCACTAGAGACAGAGCAGGGAACAGAATAGGCAGACTGATGAATACACTGCTGAGGGGAGCAGGGGGCGAGACAGGAGAGGTCTGCTTCACCATGTGGGACCCTCACCAGCCGGGATCGCACCGGGGCTGCAGAGGCTGCAGGCAGCTTCACAGCACTGTGCTCAACTGCCTGCGCCACCAGGGGAAGCCCCCCTATTTGTCTCTTCTTTTGCCATAACCACAGTATCTTGATTACTGTAGTATTAGAGTAAGCCTTGAAGTCAAATAATGTTTTTTGACTTTGTTCTTCTTCAATATTATGTGTTCTGTTCTGGATCTTTTGCTTCTTCATATACACATTAAAATCAGTTTTTAGATATCAAAAAAGTAAGTTCCTGGAATTTTCAATTAAAAATCAAGTTAGGAAGAACGGACCTATTGACAATATTAAATCTTCCTATCCACTACATGAATATCTCTCCATTTATTTAGCTTTTTGACTTCTTTCATCAGACTTTTGTAGTTTTCCTCATGTGGAATATACACATATTTTGTTATATTCAGAGTTAAGTATTTCATTCTTTTGGAGGCTAATGTAAATAGTATTTTGGATGCTATAATGTAAATGATATTCTTTTTTAATTTCAAATTTAACTTGTCATTATTGGCACTTGGAAAGTGATTGACTACTTTTGTATATTACCTTGTATCTGCAACCTTATTTTAATAGCTTATTTTTTTTCTAGGAAGTTGGGTTTTTTTTTTTTTTTTTGAGGGGAGAAGTTGTTGATTCTTTGGGATTTTTCTATGTAGACAGTCATGTTATTGGAACAGCTTTTCTTTCCTTCCCAATCAATGGGCCTTTTATTTCCTTCTCTTGTCTTATTGCATTAGCTAGGACTTTCAGTACAATATTGTAAAGGAGTGGAAAGGGGACATCCTTGCTTGGTTCTGAGAAAGCTTCTAGTTAGTCATTATTAAATATGATGCTAGTTGCATTTTTTTGGTAGATGTTCTTTATCAAGTTGAGGTAGTTCCCCTCTTCCTAATTTGCTGAAAGTTTTTATTGTGAATGGCTATTGGATTTTGCCAAATGTACTTTCTGCATTTTTTGATATAACCATGGGATTTTTCTTTAGCCTGTTTGTCTAATGGAGTATTTCATTTATTTTCTAATGCTGATCTAGCCTGGTAACTTGGGATAAATCCTACCTGATTTGGTATATAATTCTTTTTAAACATTGTCAGATTGGCTGCTAATATTTTGTTGAAAATTTTTACATTTTTGTTCAGGAGAGATATTTGTCTGCAGTTGTAATGACTGTTTGCCTTTGGTATTATAGGATGAGTTAGGAAGTATTTCTTCTGCTTCTATATTCTGAAAGAGATTGTAGGTAATTAGTATCATATCTTCCTTAAGTATTTGGTGGAATTCATTAGTGAAGCCGTCTTTTCCTGGTGCTTTCTGTTTCAGAAGGTTGTTAATTGTTGATTCTTTTTCCCCAATAAATATAGGCATATTAAGATTGTCTTCTGTGTGACTTTTGGCAAAGTATTAGTTTCAAGGAATTGATACATTTCATCTAGGTTACTAAATTCATAGCCATTGAGTTGTTCATAATATTTCTTTATTATCCTTTTAATATCCATGGGATCTGTAGTGATGTATCCTTTTTCATTTTTTGATACAAATAATTTGTGCTTTTTTCTTTTTTTCTTAGCTTGGCTAGAGGATTATCAGCTGCATTAATCTTTTCAAAGAACCAGCTTTGGGGTTTGTTAATTTTCTCTGCTGATTTCTTGTTTTCATCTTCATTGGTAACTGCTCTAGTTTATATTGTTCTTGTCATCTTGAGTTTAATATACTCTTTTTTTTTCTAGTTTTCTAAGAGGAAAGCTTAGATGATTGAATTCAGCTCTTCTTTTCTAGTTTATGCATTTAATGCTATAAGTTTCTCACTAAGCATTGCTTTTACTGCATCCTACACGTTTTGGTAAATTGTATGTTCATTTTAATTTAGTTCAAAATTTAATTCAAAAATTGCTTGAGATTTCTCATTTGAATTGTGTTTTATTTAGAAGTGTGTGTTGTTTAATCTCCAAGTAGTTTGGTGGCATTATTTCTTGTTTCATTCCATTGTGGTCTGAGAGCAGACATATGATCTATATTCCATAAAATTTGTTAATGTATAATGTTGTCTGTCTTCGTGAATTTTCCATGTGAACTTGAGAAGAATGTATAATTGCTATGATTGGATAAAGTAGTTGATCAATGTCCGTTATATACAGTTGATTGATGGCTGAATTTTGTCAGCAGGATCGGCCCAGTTTTGATAGAGGTATGCTGAGCACTCCAATTCTAATATTTGATTTGTCTGTGTTTTCCTTTCACATCTATCAGTTTTGCCTCATGTTTTTTGGATGAGTTGTTATTAGTTTCATACCCATTAAGGATTGTCAAGTCTTCTTAGAGAATTGACCTTTTATCATTATTTAATGTCTTTCTTTCTCCCAAGAGTGTTTCTTGTTCTGAAGTTGTTCTCTGTCTGAGTTTAATATAGCTACTCCAGCTTTCTTTTGATGAATGTTAGCATGATATCTCTTTATTGATCCCTTTATTTTTAATCCATAGTCTTGTGTCCCTTCATGATGAAAATGCATTCTGAAAAAATATGTTATTAGGCAGTTTCATTGTAGAAACATAATAGAGTGTAATTACACAAACCTAGCTACGATAGCCTACTCTACACCCAGGCTATATGGTATAGCCTATTGGTACCACCTTTGTATATGCAGTCCACTGTTGACTAAAACATTGTGGAGTGATGTAGGAATGTGTGTGTCTTTATATTTAATTTTTTTTTTTTGGTAGACAACAATAGAATTGGGTCTGTTTTTTTTATCCATACTGAGAGTCTCTTTTAATTAGTGTATTTAAAGTATTTAAACCATTGATGTTTACAGTGATAATTGATATTGGTTTAATACCTCTGTTGTCTTAATTGCCTTTATTTTTCATTGCCTTTATGCCTTTTCTAGGATTAATTGGGCATTTTATCTCTATTATTAGTGTATCAATTATTTTCAATTTTTTTTTTTAGTGGTTGCCCTAGAGTTTGCAATATACATTTTAAAAATATAGAACATTCCATGACATTGCAAAGTCTATGCTTATTTTTGTATTATTTCAATTTTAGTATGTATGCAGTCAAGGGGAGCACTTGATGTGCTATAACTTCATCCTCAGGGAATTCTTAGAAATTCTTCCTTTTTGTAGGATGTAATCAGCATCGGCAACATACACTGACATGAGACTGACATGAACATGAACCCCTAAGTGCTGAGCATCAGACCAGGAATCCTTGCTCTTTTGAGAGTAGAAAATCTTTGTGGTTTTATTCATTGGTGTCTTTTGCATTTTTGCTCTGTTTGTTAGGTTCAAGCCCATGTGTTGATTCCTCAAGCCTTCCTCATTTTATTTTTATTGCTGCTCATTTTAAGGACTCTATTCTCAGAATTCACTTCTTCATATTCAGAACTGTCACTTTTTCTCTGTGGACAAAGAAAAAAGAACCAACAAGCCACTTGTATTATAGAAGAAGTTGGTATGAGTCATAGTTCTTTGGCTATTCAGTTAATGCTCTTATTCTTTCTCATTTGTTTTTTAACAGATGTGATGTTTACTGGCACAGCAGATGGCCGGGTCATAAAACTTGAAAATGGACAAGTGGAGACTGTCGTCCGGTTTGGTTCAGGTTCATGCAGTAAGTCAGTGACAGTCCCCCATCAGCAAGTCCTCTGTGAATGACAGTTTGTCTCTTCCAGTCATTCAGAAATATGCCAAATGGTCCTTTTTTTGTGACATTGTTTTCCCCAAATCAGGTTCCCCCTCACGAGAAAGGGTATGACTGCCACCTGGCAGGTGGAGCATGGCTGGGGTGTTGGGTGAGCTCTTCATTGCTGTTGTGGCCTCTGGTCCTCTCAAAGCCTGACTGTCCACTACACTTTCCTAGCTAGGCAGTGGCCATGGTATCATGACTACCTCACAGGACCTGTCCCCTCAGTAGTGAGCATAGGCCACTGTGTATCCTTGGGGTACTTTTGGAGAAGATTAGTAGGCCTTGTCAGAGTACTGCTATAGAAAGCAGTTAGCTTTGTTATTACTTTGATGTAAATGTAATTCCTGAATTACCTTCACAGGAATGTCAGGGGTATCATTCAAAGTGAAAATATCCTAAGTCATTCAGATTTTGGAAATCTAGATTAGAAGCATTTCAGTGTTTAAGAATTGTAGTCCAAAGACTTTTTATTTTCTCATATTGAGTTTTTTTAATAGCTAGTGTATTTTTGTCAAAATGATAACATCTTACTGTAAAATGCAACACAAAAGTCCATAGAAGACAATAAGCCATTTCAGAATCTTCTCAGATATATCTATTATTAGCATTTAGTGAAAACCTTTTAAGATATCTTTGTGGACACTTACACTCACACATGTGATGGAATCTACATTTGGTTCTTTGATCTGGCTTTTTAAAATTTTTTTAAAATTTTTTTATTTTTTAAAGATTTATTTTTATTTATTTATTTATTTATACAAGCACTGGGTACAGTCAGAAGTGTGGGAGGGTGAGAGAATTCACCAGAGCCAGAGCGGGGAGCAGAACAGGCAGAAGGACCGAAGTTCACTGCTGAGGGAAGCAGCGGGCGGCAGGAGAGGTCAGCGCGCCATGTGGGACCCTCCTCCAGTGGTGGCCAGGGAGCAGCCAGGGATCGAACCGGCGCTGCAGAGGCTGCGGGCAGCTTCGCAACCCGGCTCTCAACTGCTGCGCCACCGGGGAGGCCCTGATCTGGCTTTTTATACTCCATATTGTGTCAGCAAGCATCTCTATAGTAAGCATCTTGCAGTGAACACTCTACATTAAGCATCCTACAGTGAACAATGCAGTAAACACCCTGCAATAAATACCCTACAGTAAGGATTCCTGTGCAGGCACTCTGCAGTAAATATGCATTGCCACAGGTTTAAAGACAATGTAGGTAGTGAAGTGGGATAATTAAGGAATAAAAGAGTAGCTTTTCCTAGATGCCAGGTAGAGAGAGAGCTGTCTTACTTTTAGAAGGATGCAGTTTTCAAGTCAGGCTATAATATTCAGGTCAAGCTGTGGGTTTAAACTTGAACCCATGAGGTTTTAGGGGATTCTGATGTTGGACCCGGGTCCTGATAATTTTCCCTGAGTTAACTGTTTATGTGTCAGAATGAGGCGTTTGGTTGCTGAGGGGGCACGGGTAAAATCTTGGACCAGTCACTGACTTCTGTCTATTTGTTTTCCTAGAAACCCGAGATGATGAGCCTGCTTGTGGGAGACCCCTGGGTATTCGGGCGGGGCCCAATGGGACTCTTTTTGTGGTTGATGCCTACAAGGGACTATTTGAAGTAAATCCCTGGACACGTATGTGACAATATCTTGTTTCCCTCTGTCATGATTTCAAACCTTTTAAGCAAAATGCACATAAGTGGACTTACTTGAAGTTGTTTTTTTTTTTTTTTTAAAGATTTATTTTTTTATTTATACAAGCCCTGGGTACAGTCAGAAGCGCAGGAGGGTGAGAGAATTCACCAGAGCCAGAGTGGGGAGCAGAACAGGCAGACCGATGAAATACGCTGCTGAGGGGAGCAGCGGGCACGGCAGGAGAGGTCTACGCGCCATGTGGGACCCTTGCCGGCGGCCGGGGATGGAACCGGCACTGCAGAGGCAGCGGGCAGCTTTGCAGCCCAGCGCTCAACCACTGCGCCACAAGGGGAGGCCCTTACTTGAAGTTTTTATATATAGTCTTCTGGGTACTCTAATATTCTCTTACTCATTGAATAGTACTTGAAAGCATTGCCTAAAAATAGCAGCTGGTAGTAAACACCATATAACACCCACCACATAACTGCATTTAATACTCTAGTTTTCTCTGGTGTTTGTATTGTAGACAGAGGGTCTCAAAAGGGCTTGGTCTGAGGACGTTTGATCTCCCTTTTTATGTTTTCCTGTCTCTTTCTCGTATTTCTGTTTGTTTTCTCTCTGTCTTCTCTTTTTTCCTTCTCTTTCATCTCTTGTCTTCATTTTTTTTTTTTTTTTCGTAGCTGCTTCTCTTTGTCATCTTATGCAGTGTTACAATGTTTGCTGTATGTGCTTCAGTGGGGGATGTTCCTGCTGTGGAAGAGTTTGTTATCGTGGATATGGGGCGCATAAAGCCCTGGACTCTGCCACCTGCTGGCTGTGTGACTATACAAGCTCCGTGGCCTCTCTACACCCACTTTACTTACCCATGAAACAGAGATAATAGTGCTGCCTCATGCCAATATTATGAGATTATAAATGAGGTTTTACATGGACAGAACTTAGCACTCCATGAATGTTCCTTTTATTATTGAAAAAAAAAATTCCTACTGGTGCTATTTCTTTATTTACAGGTAGATGATTGGAACATTTTTTACCTAAGACTCAATAAATTTTTGAAAAGTCAGTTGGTTTCAAGAAGAGAAAGAATTTCTTATCTGAAGAGGAAAGATTCTGCCCTTCATGAAGTTAGTCAAAAAAAATTTATCACCTAGCCAGTGATGGAATGGAAAACACTGTTTTTTATTGTAATAAGTCAATCTCTGACATATGACATGAAGGAGCGCATTTGAGGTTTTCTTTTTTAAATACGTTAGGCTGATTAATATTTTGAAATAATTGAGATACAAGTTCTAGAATGAAAGCAAGTCTCTTTCTTTCTCTCAATCCCTCCCTTAGGTGAAGTGAAACTGCTTCTATCCTCTGAGACACCCATTGAGGGGAGGAAAATGTCCTTTGTGAATGACCTTTCAGTAACTCAGGATGGAAAGAAGATTTATTTTACAGATTCTAGCAGCAAATGGCAAAGAAGAGATTATCTGCTTCTGGTTATGGAGGGAACGGATGATGGGCGGTGAGTGTCATTTCAGATCTGCTCCATTAGGCCATCAGTTGGGCAGGGTGACTGCAGCAGAGCTTTTTGCTTCTAGAAATTGGAGTGTTTCTGAGAATAATATCTCACTTTATAAGAGAATCTTAATGGCTTCTAGAAATAGGTGATGGATACCAGAAAATAGAGCAAGATATTCTCACATTCTCTGAGAAATTAAATTAAATCAGGCTTGCCTATCTTAGGGTGTGATCTAGGCAGCCAGGAAGAAACTCACAGGCAGCCCAGGCTGCAGGTGTCTGTCTGTTAGGGAGGGACTTCTGCAAGGTGGGAGCCGTGGTGGCCCTTCCTGGTGCTGAGCTGACTCCTGGGTCTGTGAGAGAACTGATTGTGGGGTTTCCTCAGTCTACTGTGGTTGGGGAAGGCCCCCAAGGCCAACCTACAACTAGGTGCAAGCCCAGGGCTACCAGGAGCCCTAATGCTCCTGTGTAAGGCTGGTCACACTCTTGTATTAAGTCCAAGAAGGGAGCCAGGCTCCACCTCCATATGGGGCCATGGGCTCTCCCTGTGTAACTTGTTCCTTCGTTACTACACAGCCTGCTAGAGTATGACACTGAGACCAAGGAGGTGAAGGTCTTACTGGATCAGTTGCGGTTCCCTAATGGAGTACAGCTTTCTCCTGCAGAAGACTTTGTCCTGGTGGCTGAGACAACCATGGCAAGGATAAGAAGGTATGGGGGATGTCACCTGAGCTGTCATGTGTTCACCAGAGCTCGTCATGGCTGGGCTGGGCATGGAGATGTCAAGTGACAATCTGAAATGCAGAAGGGAACCTTCTCCTTTGTGTCAAATGATAAAAATGGCATTCAGGTGTGCGTTGTCTTTCTCTCATCTCTCATCTATTGAGAGCCGCAGTCTGAGAGAGTCTTGATTTAATGATGCTTGTGCATCCTAGCTCCCCTCTCCCCTAAGGCTTTGTAGCGGGGCCCAGGACTCCTGAGGACCTTGCTTTAGCTACTGTGTTGCTGCTTATGATGGGCATAGTTTCTGTAAATTTTGTTGAACTGAGACTGGTTAGGTGCTTGGCTACAATTTTTCCTTAAATTGGCGAGGGAGTGTTGCTCATTGACTGTTTGGGTGACTTTTTCAGATTCTACGTGTCTGGTCTAATGAAGGGAGGGGCTGATCTGTTTGTGGAGAATCTACCTGGATTTCCAGACAACATCCGACCCAGCAGTTCTGGAGGGTATTGGCTTGGTATGTCGACCATTCGTGCCAACCCTGGATTTTCCATGTTGGATTTCTTATCTGAGAGACCCTTTATTAAAAGAATGATTTTTAAGGTAACTATGATAACTGTAATTCCAGAAAACAAAATAAAAATGAATCTGATTATTATATTTTTTAACTTTGTTCTCTAAAAATTCTTTTTTTTTTCGCATGTAATATTGATTGGTATATGTTAATCTTAATTTAGTTTGTAATATATAATATATACCATATTGTTTATATTTTGTGCAAATATAATATCATATGTTTAGAATGGCTTTAGATCTATTCTTCAGACTGAAATGTAAATTGAAACCTTTAAACCCTTCGATAGTTTTCTTTGATTTCCTTGTCTGGGTATCTTTATTGTCTCTTTCTGGAGACAATAAAAGACCCTCCTTTGGGGCCTATCCTCTACTGCCCGATTTGCTCTTTCCTCTGTTAAACCTTCTCATCTCTTGAGACCCTGTGATACTGCTCTTCCTCAGATATTATCAGGTGTATCTTCTGTGTCTGTGAACATCTGAACCATGAGGTCTTCATCTTTCCCGACTCCCTCCTGTCTGCTTGAATCTTTTTGTCCATGGGATTCTGCCTTTTTACCTCTTAGCCCTTGAAACTTTTTTTCATTAAAAAAATCACCCACATTCACCAGTAGCCAGCCACAGACCCTTCAATACTATCTTTAAACGTTCACCCTCCTACCATTTTTCCAGTGATTTCCATGAGACACCCTATGGGTAACTTGCTGATAGTGGCATGTCTGTCATGTGGAAATCTTTTTACAGCAAGCTCCATTTCACAGTCTGGATAGATACTTGAAATTGATATTGAATATTTGAGTAAATGTTAAAATATTTATACTTTTAGTTGCAGTAGTGCCAGGCTAGGTGTCTGGGCCACTTACCAGGCTCACACACCTGCTTAGTCAGGCTGGCCAATGACCTTCAGTGTTCTGAGTTCAGTAGGTCACTTTGTGGAAACCCAGATCTGTTTAGAAATAACAGTTTCTCATTATCTTCAGAGTGAAGTATCTGTTTCCTCTGGGGTCCAGGAGAAGGCAGAATGGCAGAGTGGGTGAGGAAGGGGGTTTGGGGAATTTTGAAGAAAGACAAAGCAGTGGTGGTGTCCTGGGCAGATGTTGTGATCTCTCCGCCTCAGTTTCTCCATTTGTTAAGTGAGAAGAATATTTTATTATGTGCTGAAAAAACTTAATGGGAATATGTGTACAATGTCCTGAGCGAGTGTAGCTAGTGTTCCATATCTACCTGTGCGCTTTCCCACAGCAGGGTTGTGGTCTGTTGGGCCTGGTCTTTGTCTGTGGAACAGATGCTCTATGAGAGCAGGTGTTTAGTTTGCTGTTTTATCCTGAACACTTAGAGCAGTCTCTGGCATATAACAGACCCTTTAGAAATTACGTTTGAATGAATGAGTGGTGAGAGAGCTGAGGCTGTAAGTCCCAGAGCGGTGGGAGGAGTTCCAGTGGCAGAGTAGGGACTCCCCTGGGGCAGGAGAGAGTTTGTTGTGTGTATGGTCAGGAGATGGCAGATGGGGCACAGGTATTTGGAATAGGAGAAGATTGCAGGCCTTTTGACTTGGAAACGAGGTTAGGCTTTATACAAAATGTAATTGAAATCATTGAGGATTTTTTTTTCTAGTTTTGAGACAATATTACATTTAAAGAAAAGTGGCAAGAAGGGTACAAAGAATGTTTTCCCTCAACTATTTGTAAGTTGCTGACCTAATGCCGCATTGCCCTCTGCTCAATACTTTTGTTTATTACAAGGACTTTCTCCTTCATAACCACCCATGGGGACAGGGAATTAACATGGATACATTGCCACCCTGCAGTCCACAGCGCCCCTTCATTGGTTCCAGTTGCCACAGTGATGATGGGTATAGCACAGGGGCCTTCAGCCATCTGGTCTCTTTATTCTCCCTCACTCTGTAGCAGCTCCTCATTCTTCATGTCTGTGAAGGTGACAGGCCAGTTCTGTGCAGAATGTCCTGAACGAGTGTAGCTACTGTTCCATATCTACCTGTGAGCTTTCCACAGTGGGGGAAACTGATCTGGGCTAACTGATACCCCTCATGATTAGATTCAGGTTCTGCCTTCTGGAAGAAAGGCCCAGAAGTAAAGCTGTGCTCTCACTACTCCCCGTAAAGAGGTGCAGGCTGGTGACTCCCTGTGCTGTGGTGGGGCTCTGAGCTCATGGTACAGGGTGGGAAGGCCAGGCTTGCCGACCAGGAATCACTCTTTTCCTTTCGTAATTCACCGGTATTTTGTGGGGAAGTACTCTATAGCTAAGTAAATATCTGCTTGCTTCTCATGGTTGCTTGTTTTATTTAATGGGTTATAATCTATTGTTGTCATTATTTCATGTCAGTTGTCCAGCCGTGGCAGTGGAAGCCCCTATAGTGTGCCCCTTGACCTTTGCACACATCCCTGTCAGCCACATTTTCTGGTTCCACACATTGCTTGAAGCTGCTAGTCATTTCCCTGCCCAGCCCAGGTTTCAGCCTTTCTCCAGAACAGCCTTGGCGCCTTCTAGAGGGGATCTAAGTGTACTGACTGCTTTGGAGGTGTCAAGACAAAGCTGGGGAATGCACACATGCATAGAATGTATGTAGGCAGTATTCATACACACAAGTTTACACCTGTTTTATCTACCAGCTGTTTATTTAAGTTGAAAAGCATAAGTAATGCTGATATCTCCAGTTCCAGTTTCATACCACAAATTTTTATTCTAGGCTTCTCCCTTCTCATATCTGTACTTCTTTTAATATTGAAAAACCTGGGTCCCATTATCCTTCATATATTTACTTATTTGATCAGTTTTCTCATATGTTACCTGTCCATAGCAATTGTCTCCCCTCGCATGGTCCCTACTAGGACTCCTGCACCCACATTGTCCCTGTCTCTGACTATGTACAGGGGTCTGCTTTCCCTTCAAGGACTCTGATTCCTGCTCCAAGCTGTCCATTAGGTGAACATCCCTTCACCCTATTTGGGCTCAGACAGCCTGTGCCAGGGAATCCCTTATGGGAACCCCCTTACCCTGTTTAAGTCCTGATGCCCTACTCCATGCCACCATCCTATCCCTTCTCCCAGTGTGGACTATCTCCTTACCCTGCTCAGTCTGATGCCCTGGTCTGGGTCACCGCCATTCCTCCACTACTGTGCTTCACCCCGCATGTGGTTTGTGTGGGAGGGAGTAATAGAGGACCCAGGCATGTATTTAAATGGTAACTGCTGCTGTGTGGCCAACAGCCATAGCAGGGGAGCTCAACTAGCTAGTGTGGAGATGGCTGCAGTGGTCATGGCAGGTGTGGCAGGGCCCAGTGTGGGAGTGGTACTTACACAGTGGTGATGGGGCTCCTTGGTGCTGGGCTCGCTGGGCTTGCAGAGAAGGGGAGCATGTGTGAGAGCCAGGCTGCTGGAGTCAGCAGCTGGTGTCAGGGGCCCTGTCTCCTGAGCTGGAAGTCTATTAGATTTGAAGAGTTTTATTATTAAGTTCAGACAGAGCAGGGTCCCAGGCAGTATGAAATTTTGTACTGGGGGTCAGAAATAGAGGTGGATATTTCAGAGATTTATAGGAAAGTAGTTAGTTAACCTGAATGAGCACTCAGAGATATGATGGGAAGAGCAGAGAGGAGAGGACCTAAGATTGAAGGGAGGCAGCTTCTGTGGGTTCTGGGAAGCCTGTGGAATGTTTTTCAGGTGTCTCTGCAATGTGAGTATGCCTTTGATCAGTTGCTGTAGAACCTTCTAGAAAGTCAGCTTGTATGCCTGCTTGTATATTTCCAGTGGCTAGGAAACAGTCATTGGATATTTGCAGTTGTTTGGCTATTTCCCCTTGTATTAAAAGATAGAAATCTGCCTTTTAATTTTCATTTATTAGTCTTATGAGATTGTGTACTTTGTTATCATTTCCTGTCTGTATCCTCTTTGGCCAGAAATTGTCTGTCTCCTGGCTTCTCTGCTTAAGACCTCCAGTAGTTCTGTGTGCCCTTGACTTTGCCGACCCTGGGGCACTGGAGGGTGCTCTACTCAGTGTGGCAGCCTCTTCTTGACAGAGCTGCCATGACTTGTGCTGTGGTACTTCTTCATTTAACCTTGTTGCTTTTCTTTGTAATCTTAACATGAGCTATTCTCAAATCTCCCTCATCTCCACATTACAAACATTTAAAATATTTTAAACCTTTTCAAAGAATTTGGCATTTATTCCAGTTAGGCTGTGCTGGTTTTAGCCTGGAATTCTGGGGTCAAGTCACTCTAGGCCTTGGCTTCATTGTTGCGTCTTCCTCAGATATGATTTGTATTTTTCTGTGTTCAGCCAGGTCATCCAGAGAGGTGTGTACATTGTGAGTCTGTCTGGTGGGCTTCGTCCACCAAAGCACAAAGGCTGTTTAGTTCTGCCCTATGTTGGGTTAGCTTTGCCTCCTTGGATGCAAGGGACAAGAGGCTCCTTGGCCTGATGTGCACAGGGGCAGGGGAGGTGATGGCCTGCTGTGGGCAGGCCTTGTGCAGGAGTTGAGAGCCTGCCCTGTGTGGTTTCCCTGTCAATGGAAGGGGCTGAACTAGGTGGTAAGAGGGTTGTGGAGTCAATTATAAAACTAAATACAACTGAGTGAATGTTAAAGAGCTTATTGATTTTATTTAGTGATTCATGAATTGGGCAGCAACTAATCTAGCTGAGAGATAGGACCTCTGAAGAGCTGGATCAAACGAATAATTTTATAGGCTGAAGGGCATAGGAACAAGGAAGTTGGATAGACATAGAAGGGGGCTGCTTCTTGCAAGGTTACTTTCCTTTAAAGGAAAGCAGGATCTAGTGGGTAAACTACTCAGCAGTGCTGGCTAAGTGATTCCTCATTGATTGTTTTAAAGATTCCATGACTAGGAGAGCTAAACTGTGATTAAATTGAATCTCAATTTGCTGACATGGAGCTTAACATAGTGACTCCATTATGGACCTGTTATCTTGTTTTTAAGTGGTTGGATCTCACATCATTCTCTTAGTCAGATGGTAAACTCCCCTCTCACTGTGCTTCTCTTTCAGCTGTTTAGTCAGGAGACGGTGATGAAGTTTGTGCCCCGGTACAGCCTTGTCCTAGAGCTCAGCGACAGTGGGGCCTTCAGGAGAAGCCTGCACGATCCCGACGGGCAGGTGGTCACCTACATCAGCGAGGTGCATGAACACGACGGGCACCTGTACCTGGGCTCCTTCCGGGCCCCTTTCCTCTGCAGACTCAGCCTCCAGTCTGTGTAGACACCGACAACTGCCGTGCCAGCTATGTCACACAGGGCACTGCACTCAGGGCAAGAGGCACTGGACATCACCCTCCTGCACCTGCTGACCCTGGAAATATAGCACAGCCCGCAGATGTGTGCCCCTGCAGAACCCCCTCACCAGGCTTGACTTTGCATTTAGTGGGAAGTATAACATCTGTCATAAGAGTAAGTCCATGGAAAGCCATTTTCTCTTTAAAAAACCTTTCTTAGTATAGTAGTTCTCTAGGACTTGGGAGACTTCGTGAACTTTGAATGGGGCTCAGGTTTTGGTGGGCTGAGTGTTTTTGCTCCTGGCTCTCCTATCAGCTTCATGTCTTTACTGTAAAATGGGATAATACCTTCTTTGGGGTAGGAGCATGAAAAAGGCAAGGAGAGCTCAGTGCAAAGGTGCCTTGAGGCCAACAGATGGAGCTGTGCAAGCTGAGATGTCAGAATTGCATCATCCTGAGCCAGGGAACGTGGCCCTTCCATACGTCTCATCCTCTAGCCTCCTTGGCTCGATTTCCCTCCCTCATCACCAGCGGTTTTCAAAACTCCTGAGGCCCTGTCAGCCAGGGACTCCAGTGCCCCTAATAGCATGTTGATTCCAACAGCTCAGAGAGGACTCACTGGGTTTCTTTGTGAACAGTCATGAATTGAATGATGTGGTGACTTAGCCCAAGGGTTCATGTAGGAAAGTCTTGTTTACGCACCCTGTTCCGTACCTCTAGACCTGCAGATGTGCACGTGTTATTGTCATATATGCTTGAGTGTCACAAGCCTGAAGATGCTGTATATCTTGACAAACATGTCTACACTGGTCATAATTTTGTCAGGGAGATCCTTGTAATGAGATTAATTAAATGGCCTTTTCTGCTGATTAGTCAACTTTTGATGCTGTTACCTAGGTATTTTGTTTCTACTTTAAATACGATTTTTTTAACAGTGACAAATTTAATTTCATCAAGTATCTGAGGATTGTTTCAGCTAGGATTTTGTTTTAGGCATGAGTGGCTCATCAGATTTGCTCAGACATGGCAGTGTCTTCAAGGCAGCTGAGTGACCTCAGGCATTGATTCATTCTTGGTCAAGTTGGTACTGCACTCCTCACCTGTTTTCCAAACTACAATGTTGGGCTATTCCTGGACGTTTGTGAAAATACACAAGAGTCCTGTCTCTTGAATGAGTTTTAATAACTTGACAAAGACAATATTTTCAGTATGTGATACTAGAATTAAAGCAGCACTGAGAGCTGTGATAAAATCTGAACCATTTGTATCTTGTCCCACAGGCTGGCCTTCACTCTTTGCTCTCTTTCCCAGCAGCTGCCCACCCCGGTGTGCCGGTCTGGCCTCATACTAGGGAAAGGGTTGGAATCTGATGGTTGATTAGTCTTGTGTCACCCTCCTTGGGGCTGGCTGTATATACAGCAAATAGAGCCAAAGGTTGAGAAGTCTAGTTAATGTGACCCATATTGTACCAGATGAATGACTTAATATTATTTATAACTTTATAGGAAAGAAAATTGAATAGTGATTATTAGATATTTTTTTAATAGTTTATGGTGCATCTTCTCATATATCTAGTATACAGGGAAAAGGTAAAACCTGATCCTTCTGCCATAAAAAAATTTAAACATACCAGTATATATGTAAACACATGTGTAAGTTGACTTCTTGATTGAGAACAGAGGGCTTTGCCTTTAGCGCTTAATTTTTGTAGACACAAAGGAACTGGTAAATTGCTTTTCACAGTTTTCAGCTGAGGAGTCTTGATTTTGACTCAGATGTTGATTTTCTATCTTAAAGTGTCATTTCCTGTGTTTATCTGGCAATTTGGTATGGTAAAGTGCAAAATACAGCCTTACTAGGTTTAAATAAGTGATAATGCTTTTGTTGTAAACATAAAATGGATTCGCTCTAATGTGAATTACTAATTTGCTTTTAAAATTAAATCAAATGATTAATTCATTGTGCTTCTTTTTTTTTTTAATTAATGAAGTTCCATTATCTTACATCCTTGTTAATATTTTGATAGTATAGGATTTCTCCCCCTAGTGTGGTCACTGTGGAGCTCCCACCACCAAGTGTGTTTCTTTATTATCTATTCCAGAAATATCACCAGGAGTCAGCTAGTGCCTTTTACAGGACAAAGGTCCAATTTGAGATTGTTATCGTCAACCTGCACTTGCCGAGTGACCTATTGTTTCGAAAGTATTTTCATGTACACTGAACCTTTTAACGTTGTCAAGGAGATGTAGCTTTGTTTTACAGATGGTAACTAAGTCTCTGGGGTTAGTGATTTTCTTAGTGTCACATAAGCGTGCAACTGATTTAGGACCTGAGCTGCGATTGGATCTACTGGAGAACGTGGGAGACAGTGAGACACAGAGGTGTTTCCAGAACGTGGCTCTGTGGTGGCCACTACCCAGCCTGGGAGTCAGGCCATGGCTGCACATTGGAGGCCTCTGGGCTGCCCAAGTTGGCCTGGGCATCAGCAGGGTTTACAGCTTCACAGGCGGTCCTCAGGGGCATTTAAGGGTCATTCACCACACCCTGGGTCCATCTGCAACCTAATGAGGACCATGACTTGGCAGATGTCTGGGCAGGGAGTAGTAGCATTGAATCCCTCAGTGTCTGTGTATACACACTGGTTAGGAGGTGTGGAGATGTGTGGTTGGGGAAAATTCTGAAATGCCCAGAGCCAAATTCTGTTAGAATTTTCACTTTTGAGGCCTTGAGTAAAAGTTTCTTTTTTTGGGGGGGGGTCATAATTCTGGCCTGAGGATATAGGTACTTTACATTTTGTTAGCTACAGTAACGTTACATAATGACAGTTTCCCTCTGAGTCAGAATAAAGCTGATATGTTTTAAAGAACAGGTGAAATTGGGTTGGCAATAGGGGACTTTAGGTCACCTCTAAAAGCAGCCACCAGCTCCACATGATTGTTTTGTTTGAGTAGTTTGCATCTTCTGCCAACTCTGGTACTTCCCGGGCGGGGGGGGGGCTCCTGTGAGCTGAGTCTTGAGGGAATAGTGTCAGAGGGCAGAGTCATGCTAATAGAACAGGTGATGGAGTCACCTGGTCCTGGTGCCCGGTGCCACATTGTGTGTTGTCTGGGAAGCAGGGACAAAATGTCTACAGTGTTTTGGTTGGCAGACGCATCTCTGTGAAGAGCATAGGTGTTCTAGCTGCTGGCTTCCAAAACTCAGCTTCACGCTGACTCACTGGCTGAGCCTCTCTTTACTTTCTGGTGTCACCATGGCTGGTTGGAGAGTTATTTAAGGACAAGTATTTTCTTGTATAGACCTTGTTGGTATTTGTAGTATGTATAGATCTTGAGGTATAATACAGCAGAGACTGGGAAAGATAACAGGGTGGATGATTAAAGTAGAGTCTTCACATTACATTAGGAAGAAGACGACCCCTTTCTGCTGGGGCTCTGAGAGTCCTAATGTAGAAAAGGTTTGAGGTTGGGGGCCATGTAGCTGACTGGTCTCTGTGGTGGCTGTTTTGCCCTAGGTATAAGGGCAATGAATACCTGGCACCAAAGATGTTTTGTCTGTGTTCAATCCTGAGGGTTCTAAGGTTAGGATTTGAGGCTTTCTCCAGAGCATCCTCATTTCTGACATGTCTGTGTTTGGATGGCTGAAGTGACTCTCAGGCAGCCAGTCTTCACGTGCTCTGGTGCATATTTAATGTGTACCAGGAGGGGCTGGGAGGTCAGAGCAAGGGGCCTCCTCTTCATTTGCTACATCGTCATTGAGCTGCATCACCAGGCCTGTCTGCTGCTCTGTTCCTGCCATTTCATTAAAGGTTCATACCCCTGAGTGCCTCATTTATCATTATCAGAGAATTGCCTTCAGTGGCCTTTGGAATCATGGAATATATTAAATATCTTGTAGCATAGGTGGCAGCCCCCCCGTCCCTGAATTAAATAAAGGAGGTGAGTCGAAGCAGCAAAATGAATGAGGATTTTGAATTATAGTTAAAAACTCTCATCACTTAAGAAAGCCAAAGGTGATTTATTTGGGCTGTTCATATTGATCAATTGTCACTTAATTCACATTTAATGCAGATTTTTCTCTTACCTATGAATTATCAAGTCCATACTTTTTAAAGACAAGATATTTTGCACTTATGTGTAGTTTGAAGAGGATCTGGAGAGGAATGAGTCTAAAATGAGGAGCCCCTGCATTTGGACCTTCGTTTACCAGGCAGAGTATAGGGTCATCTCTTGTCTGAGTGAAGCCCAAAGACCTTTGTGGCTACCTGCAAGCTCCTGGGCTTCTCTTCTGTGGTTGAAACGGGCATGGCTTTCAACACAAACAGGAAGGACCCTGTTCCTTCCAACCCGCAATGGTCTTTCCCTCCCCCCACTTTTGTCCCTCAGCTAGTCTCCCTCTCGTTGGGGCTGTGGGAGGTTAAACTTCCTCTCCTGGGTGGGCCTGGGGATGGCCCTGGCACTCTGCCCACCCTACCTGCCAAAGCACAGCTGCACATAATTGGGCACTTCCAAACCCTTGTGCCTCGGACAACAGAGAGATCAGGCAGAACCTGGGATCAGAAGAAAGCATCTCAGAGGTGGCCCTGCTGGTTCATGATGTGAATTACAGGATGGCTTGCTTCCAGAAATTCTGGTCTTCAATATGTTTTATGGGGCAGCTAATCTCTGGAAAATTCTCCTCAGTGTTTTATGGAAATAAACTCATCAGACCAATTGGTGAGGTGAACCCTCAAAACTTTTATCTCACCTTCCTGACTTCCCCTTTAAGAGGTGAAGCAACAATCATTGCTTTGAGATGACCAGTTCTTTATTCATTACTTAATTCATCCACAAAAGGTCAAGATAATCAACATCATACTTGGTTCCCCAGCCCGGTGTGCAGTAATTATTCACCGGAAAGGGTGGCTGGCTGGGCTCTCTTCAGCCACCCTGGCACATAGGGAACTCAGGTGGGGCAGGGCACACGAGTGGCTCCCTCAAGGGCCGAGCGCCTCAGTAATTCCCGCTGGACGCCCCAGTCCTGTATGCTCAGACCCTGAATCTAGGTGAAAAGCGTAAGTAAAATTAAGTTAAGAAGAAGACTTGGTTAATCTAGCCAAGGGGCTTGTCACCTTCCTTCCCTGCTGTTCTGTAAAGAACCCAAAGCGTACACAGTGGGCTCTCTTAGGAGATGCTATGTCTGAAGGCCTGAGAGGAGCCATGTCGGAGGGCAGTAGAGAGCACAAGTGTCCAGGCTGGTGGCAGCTGCAGTCTTGCTGAGAGGAGGAAGTCAGTGGCATTGGAGAACTGGCACCTCGAACTTCTGGAGCCAGGGGATGACCCAGACTTCAGAGTAGCAACTGAGAGTCTGAAACAGAGAAGGGCACACTGGAGCCTGTCACAGAGGCCGCCTCCCGCCCGCTGCCCCCAGGGGGCTTCCACACGCTGCCTCGGAGGTTGCGTGCACTTGTGCATGCTCATGTGTGTGCGCATGGACACGTGTGTGTATGTGTGTGACTTTGTGTGTGTTTTCTTGAGTTCTCCCCTTCCTCATGCTTTGAAAATTTCACACCTACAGAAAAGTTGAAAGAGTGACTTAATATATACTTTTCACTTTTCACAAATTATTAAATTTGCCACATTTGCTTTCTTCCTGCATGTGTGCATATAGATAGATATAATTTCTGAATTATTTAAAAGCTTTTTGGCTTTAACCTCCCCATCCCAAGCCTGGAATGGGCCCCTCAGAGAGCGAGCGAGTCAGATTGGGTGACTGAGGATTTCTCCCTCTATGTTCTCCATATCTGGGGACTACACTGGAAGGCCTTGCCTCAAGTGTGAAATATGGGACCGGCAGTCAGAGAAATGATGAAGGGGGTATTTCCCAAAGCCCTGGAGAGTGGGGTGAGGGCAGGAAGGCAAGACCTTCCCTTTGTGTTACCTGCTTTAAGGTGTGGTTGGTCTGGAAGTCACAGTTGTCCAGATTTGGGTGCTTGTTTTTCTTGCAGATAGTTCTGGCAATCTGCACATCGAGCATGTACTTCAGGCCTTTCACTATCTAAAGAGAACAAGAGGTGGGCCTGGTTAATCCGTGCAGGACAGTGTGACTAGCAGCTCCTTTGTCATCAGGAGGTGGTATGAAGGCAGGTGATAAAGATGCCCAAATTTACCAAAAGGGCTCTAGGAAAAAAGGCTTGAGGTTAAACCCCAATCCCTTTCTGTCACCTTCCTTTATTCACTTCTTATTCCTGCTTTCAGAGCCAGTTCTCCATCGCAGGACAAGAGGCAGTCATTGTCTTGTTTTGGGACATCTCTCCCTGAATGCTACATTGGAGAGGCATCAACTAACTTGCCCTGGGGCTGCCCTGGCCCCAGCCCAGAGGTGAGGCCGTGCTCTCTCCCGCCCTGATAGCCCACCTGCAGCTGTGCTGGCTGCCCTGGGTGGCAGTGGTGTCTTGTTTTGTTTTGCTATTTCCTTACTTTTCAAAGAGCCCTTCTCTACTTGGATGCAGCATCAGCTTGGTTCATCCTCCTCCTTTGTGGTCTCAGAGGAGTTGGAGAAAACTTTTAGTCTCAGCCCATTGCTGCTAAGTGAAATAAAGTTCTCAAACTCACGGAGAGGGCAGCTTCTTATTTGCCCCTCCAAAGGCCTCAGCACTGGGCACAGCCTCTGCGCTTGCAGCAACCCTGCCTGCAGGAGCAAACGTCTCAGGAGCAAAGGCCCTGGTGCCTGGGGCTGAGCCCTGCCTGGATTGGCAGCACTTTGGTTGCTCATGGGAAGCCTCATAGAGTTAGCCCTGGGGCCTCTCTGGTGGTACAAAGGGTTAAGATGCAGCACTATGAAGCTATCCACAGCCAGTGCAGCTCAAGTTCGATCCGCAGCCAGGGAGCTAACCCACATGATGCAGCAGACCTCTCCTGTCTCGCCTGCTGCTACCCTCAGCAGTGTATTTCAGTAGATCTGCCTTTCCTGCTCCCCACTATGTCTCTGGTGCATCCTCTCTCTCCCCAACCCCCACACCTCTGGTCTATACTCCAGTTTTTGTATGCATGAATAAATAAATCTTAAAAAAATAAGGTTAGCCCACATCACATTGCTTTTCTAGCCCCAGAAATATACTGCTCTTAAAAATACACTGCCAAAAAGAATAAATATGATAAAAGTTGTCCATAATGCCGTGGCCCCGGTAGTGTCCATACGTGCAGGACTGCTAGCCTTATAGTGGGCCATTCAGGGTCACTCCTCTGTGCACACCACACACTTCAGGAGTGTGGATTGTATCCAAGCCAGCTTCCCACATCTGTGATCACTCAACTTGCTTTTTTTTTTTTTTTAAATATTTATTTATTTATACAAGCACTGGGTACAGTCAGAAGCGCAGGAGGGTGAGAGAATTCACCAGAGCCAGAGCAGGGAACAGAACAGGCAGACTGACAAAATACACTGCTGAGGGGAGCAGCGGGTGCAGCAGAAGAGGTCTGTCGCGCCATGTGGGACTCTTGCCGGTGGCCAGGGATCGAACGGGCGCTGCAGAGGCTGTGGGCAGCTTCGCAACCCAGCGCTCAACCACTGTGCCACCAGGGGAGGCCCTCAACTTGCTTTTGAATGGCCGTACAGTGTCGCTGGGTTTACCAAGTGCATAGCCATAGGAGATGGCTCCTGATTATGCCTTGTCAGCGTTCTGTATCTGTGTTTCACGCTGACCTCCTGTGTCCTTGGGTCACAGCCAGGCCTAGCTCAGTCCCGTAGGGCCCCCTCTCGGAGGGGCGGCACCAGAAGGATGTGTGACTTCACAAGGTCTGACATTTGGGAAGATCTAGAGGTAGAGGGGTTTGTGCACTGGGGAAAGGGGAGCAGCTTGGGTAAAGGTCTAGGCTATGAAGGAACATGGCTCTGCTGGGCAGTGGCAAGTAGCTTTTGGGGCTGTGGTGCAGGTGAGGGGGAGCTATGTGGGACCTGGGCAGCCCTGAGGGGGTGCAATGGCCACAGTCGGGGTGTAGCTCTTTTGTTTGGGTCCATCAGGCAGGCTTTCTCACTCTCTAACCCCTTACCCCTTCACCCTGTCAGCCGTCTTCAGCCTGCCCTGCCCTTCTGGGCGCTACTCCAGCTGTGCTGTGGTGCAGGCCTGAGAGTCCCACCCTTGAAGAAGTGTGGTTTCAGTCACAGACACTCAGGGTCTAGCTCAATTCTGGATGATACCTGTTTGCTGCTTGTGGGCTGTTTGTGGCCTGCTGTCAGCCTCCCAGTTCGCATCTGTGTTCCAGAAGCCAGGGTGCTAGGTAGCTTTGCACCTGGTGAGGCCAGAGCCACTAGACCTGGCCTCCTAGGGTTGTCCCTGAGACACTGTGAGAAGCAGAACCTCACCTGGACCAGGGCTTTGCTGATGTGGGACTCCTTGAACAGGAAGATGTCGTTTGTGCAGTTGTTGAACCTTTCCACGCTGAGTCTGGCCGCTTTGCGGACTTCAGGGTTGTTGGTCTCTATTGTTTTGGGAAATCCAGGCTTCACATTTGTGTGAAGGATGTGGGAACAAAAATCTGGAAGAGAGAAATACAGACCCAGACATGAACACTGGTGTGAATGGGCCCCAGGGTCCACGAGTCACCCCTTGCATCTCAATGCCCACTTTCTCTCTGTTCAGTGTGGCCCTGGCTCAGTCACCCCACTCCCATCTGCCTGCCCCTCGCCTCCCAGTGCATTTGTCGGAGTCCCCAGGATATCTCAGACTCAATGCCGAGGGCTAGGAGTGCTCTGGTGGCAGCGATGGTAAGACGCAGGCCCCTCCCACATCCCTGTGGTTGCAGCTTCTTTTAGAACCCCACATTTCCAATATGTCAGAGAAATCCTGAACACATCCCTGGGGTAAGGGGGTGCTTGACAGGATGCAGACAGCAGAGCGGTTTCGGGGGAGTGGCCTTAACTAGTAGGCCGAGGCAAGTACCTCAAACCCGGTCTGCCTCTCATGAGGAGACCACTTTGTCCTCCGTGATTTGGCTTGGAATCACCCAGTTTCAGCCTCCAGGTCGACTCATCCAGGACCCCACTCCCTGGTAGTGCCTTAGCACCTGGAACTCCCGTGTGCTCCCCGCTATTGTATTGGGTACAGCTCTCTCCCACTAGTGGCAGGAGCTCTGAGGGTGGGCCAGAGCTGGGGGAGTCTCTTACACAGCTGGCCCCAGAGTTGGCATGGGGAGGAGAAAGAGTGGGGTTTCTCTCACCCTTCCATGTTCTCCCTGCTCTGAGGAGACCATATTTGGATAAAATATCAGGGAGGCAACATGAAGGATTTCTCCCCCAATACCGAACATCCCCAGTGTCTGACAGAGGGGCAGAACCAGGTATCCCAAATCCCCTCCTCTGCTTTCTGCTTTCTCTGCCCACCTCCCCAGTTCCTGAGGGCCCGTTCTGTAGAACCACATGACTTCATGCCTCTCTCCAGCTCATTCCCAGGCTTGCCTACGCCTTCTGAACATCCCCAGCAGGGGATGCTGGGTCTGGCTGTGCCAGCTGCACAGACCTGGGTGGGGTCTGAGAGACAGTCGGTGAATATGGGGAAGGAGGTGTCCGAGGGCTTAGGGACCCAAGTGGTGATGTGAGGAGGGCACCCAGGCAAGCACAGGCTATGCTAACTCAGGTTTTGAGCTTTTGATTTTCCTACAAAGAAAATAATATGAAAAGCCACAGCTCTGTAGAGCAGCAAGCCTTCTCTGGCTCACAGGTGCTTGGTTTTAGGTTTCCCTGCCTCAATTTTTCTGCAATGATCATGAGCTACTTCTATATTAAAATAACAAAGATTTTAAGTTTGGAGGAAAATATAAATAAATTGGGGGGAGCGGTCTACTGCTTTTTACTAAGAATTTCTCCTAGGTTTCCCTGAAATAATAGCATGCCAGAGATGACCTGGAGCTGAGCTGTCTCACGGCAGGTGCTGACCAATCTGGCTCTTCACTACATTAAATGACTACTTTACACTCACTGCATTAAATTACTACACCGCATTCACTACATTAAATTGAGTATAAAGCTCAGCTCCTCAGTGGCACAGCCTGCTCTGGGGGCTCAGTGGTCACACGTGGCTATGGCTGGCTCTTGCCAATGCAGACAGAAACGCTGCTTCCATGTTCCATGTTCCACTGCATGGCGTCTCCATGGAGAATTCTCTCTGCTTCCTTTAGTTGTGACCTCGGAGAGCACATGAGCACAGGCATTCAGTTGGGGGAGAGGGTGTACACATAATTGAGGCGCCGAAGCAGCAGGAAGTGAGACCCAGTGTGGGTTGCAGCAGCCTAACCAGATAAGCTTCCGGACTTAGTGGTGGAGAGTGAAGCGATCATCTCTCTAGAGCCCCCCAAGAGTAGCTTAGACTGGGGCTTCCCGGGTTGTAGATGCATGTTGTCTAAGAAGATACTGATGGCAAAGGGTGTAGGCTTTCAGGGAGCTGAGATTCTAATTGGCTCCCTGGTTTGTGAAAAAAAATCTAAATTTTAGGGAGGACAATGGTAGCATAAATTCAACAGAACAGGGAGCTTTAATAGCAACATTATTCCTGGGGGCTCATCTGGGATGTCCCATTGGGGTTGAGCCCCCAACTCACAGGGATTGACAGAGGGAGCTGAGAGAAATACCTTTGTCCTTGAACTAGGGGTGGGGATTAGATGGGCCTGTGGGCTGACTGAAACCTGAAATGCACAAGGATTTGCCCCCAGTGGGACAGCCCCTGTGCTATGTGGCTGCCACAACGTTAAGTCACAGCTGCCCCCGAGAACCCCTCGGAACATCGCTGTTGAGGGGAAGAGAGAGTACAGGCTTACAGGATGCACAAGGGCTGAGACTGACTATCCATGTAGCTTTTGTGTTGGGGTTAGTCAAGCATGTTGGACTGTCACTAGGGGTTGGGTCTAGATCAAAGTGACCACAGCAAGTGAGATGAGGGGCCCACAGCCCACCTCAGCAGGGAGGACTTGCCCTGGTGTCAATGATCTCATCCGCTCAGAGTGAGGGTGCCAATGGGCCATAGCCACGGCCATGCCGATCAGCACAAAGCTTTCCCTAGAACCTGCACGCCGACACTGGTGCACGCAAGAGCCCTGCTGAGTAGAGAACCAGGACTCCACCCCATGCAGCCCACCTGGAGTGCCACACTTTCCCTGTGGACAGCATGGTTGAAGGAGTTCTGGGAGTGGGCAGAGAGGTGTGTGTCTACATTCCCTGACCCTGGGGGCATCTCCTGGTGGGGTGTTGGGTTGGAAGGGGTGTCCTGCTGTCTCTGTTGCCAGCCTCCTTCATAAGGGGGGGCTGTCAAGACAAAGTTTATGATTCCTTTTCCAGGCTTCCTAGGCCTCAGTCACCCACAGAACCCGGTCCTCCATCCCCAGTAAAAACTGTATAACTGGTGCCCTTCCCAACGGAGTCACGGCCATCTGCTGGTCCGCATGCTCCTCAGAGTTTGTCTCCCACAAGTGTTCTTTGGGAGTCTCTTTGCAAAAACCCAGTCCTCATATGACACCCCTACAGAAGCTGGCTGAAGATGGACACAAAAGCTGCTTCCGTTCCTTGAGCACAGTGGCCAAGTTGCGGGAGGGGGGCGGTCAGCCTAGGGATGATACGCTTGGCAGGCTCACCAGGTGGTTCTGACACAGGTGCTGGCGAGGGGTTTCCTGGTGTCACTGTGAAGAAGATGGGGGGCTGGGCCAGCACTGTTCCTTTGTTCCTGTGCTGTTGACCACGGACATCAAGTGTGGCTTTAGTTTTAACAAAGTACTCTTGGAAAAAGTCTTGGTTTCTGTTTATCAGTACAGTCTACACAGCAGAGGAGGAAAGAAGCTTCCTTGTGGGAGGGTCCCAGTCTTCAATGTATTGTGTCATCAGAGGTAAGAGGTCCCCCTGCTTCATGCATTACTTGCTGACTATTTTTCTCTTTGTAAAAATTATAATTACTGGTGGCACAAGGGGTTAATAAGCACAACACTGTGAAGCTATCCGCAGCCTCTGCAGCACGAGTTCAATCCCAGACGGCCAGGGAGCTACCCACACGGCGCAGCAGACCTCTCCTGACTCACCCCCTGCTCCCCTCAGCAGTGTATTTCATCAGTCTGCCTGTTCTGTTCCCTGCTCTGTCTCTGGTGAATCCTTTCACCCCCCGCACCTCTGGCTTGTACCCCAGTTCTTGTATGCATAAATAAATAAATCTTTAAAAAATTATAATCACTGCTTTTTCTGATTATAAGTTTACCTATTTGAGGGAGGAAGTACAAAAAATGCAGAAGAGTAAAACATACAAATTAGAAATCATTCTCTCAATGGATAACTTTTAAAAATAAAATATTAAAATGAACTTAGCTAGAATTGAACAGAATTTAGAAAATGAAGTGAAACTACGTTTTATGAAACCTCAAAGGAATGTCCCTTCCATATGTATGATGTTAGTTCCTAAGTGGAAAAGTTCATGAGAAATGTTGATGCTAGTTTGCTTTTATTGAGCTACAATTTCTTTAAAATGAGGTCTTCAAGGCAGGAAATTTTCATCAGCACAGGTGGCTAAACAGTGAAAGTTCCATTCTTTTTTCTTTTTCTTTTTTATATTTTATATATTTTTACATCATTTTTCATTTTTGCACAATATATGCATTTTCATCTTGGTTATTTGAAAACAAAGTTGAAAAGTAAACCTATATTTTGGTAACCCAGGAGAAATTAACAGGAAAGTCTGACCACGAAGACTGTGACCAGCTCCTGCAGGGTAAAACACAACCAGACAAACATGTGCTGAGCAAGGGCCACAACCAGGGAGACAGCCCTTCCTGCTCCAAGTGTGGCCTCAGTGCCCTCAGGGAAGGACCTGGGGTCTGTGATGCCCAGATGACATTTGGGGGAGCAGGAGGGCATGCTCTCCGCATGCCTCTGCAGGGGTGATGCTGTGCCCCTTCCTATGAGGCCTCAAGGGCATGTGGGGTTGAACCCTGGTTCCACTACTCCTAGAGACCATGCTCTTTTTTTCTCATCAAGAAGTATTCTTAGGCAGGTGCCACAGGTGATGCCAAGATAACTCACAGGCCTTGGGCCACGTAGCCCACAGCTCAGGGGAGGTGGATGGCACACAGCCTGGGGGGCAGCTTCCTGGGAGGAGGCTGAAACCTGCACGGAGAGAGGCTGGGTTCAGGAAGGGAGGCTGGGATGGAGAGACTGATGAGGAATCATGGAAGCAACTGAGGTGAGGAAGAGTTAAATCTGAGGCCTGAGGGGACACAGCTGGATGCTGGCTGCAGGGCCAAGATAAGGGGGCACCTATGACTCAGACTGATGCATAGTGATGCAAATGGAAAGAACCATGGGTGGAGAAGCAGGTCTGTGTGAAGAAATGAAACGGTCTGCAGGAACTAGCATGATGGAGGCAGGTACGTGGGCTCAGAAAGGAGTGACATCCTTACAAGGAAGTGCCGCTCCCTCCCAGCCTGCCCTGCCCAACCCCCAGCTTGGCTTTCCAGAGAGCTGGGGACATGCAGAGCTCAGCCCCAGGGCCCAAAATGCAGCCCAAGCA